CGCCGAGTCGCGGCCGCCTTCTCTGCGCTCCCTGCGGGTCCCGAGCGCGGCGCCATGTCGGAGCCCGGGGGCGGCGGCGGCGGCGAGGACGGCTCGGCGGGCCTGGAGGTGTCGGCCGTGCAGAACGTGGCCGACGTGTCGGTGCTGCAGAAGCACCTGCGCAAGCTGGTGCCGCTGCTGCTGGAGGATGGCGGCGAGGCGCCGGCCGCGCTCGAGGCGGCGCTGGAGGAGAAGAGCGCCCTGGAGCAGATGCGCAAGTTCCTCTCGGACCCGCAGGTCCACACGGTGCTGGTGGAGCGCTCCACCCTCAAAGGTGCGGGTCCGGGGCGGCCTCTGGGCTCGCACACGCCCCGCGGGCAGGTTCCGTGCGGAGGGCAGGCTCAGCAGGGTCCCCCCGGGCCTGACCCCGCCGGAAGAGCCCCCGTGGCTGCAGAGGCCGGGCCGCGCCCGGGACCTCGCTCTAGCCACACCCCATGCAGGGGCCCGGGGTGCCCCCTCCCTGGTCGCGGGAAGGCAGGAGAGTGCTCCTGTCCTGCCGTCACCCTAAACAATGGGGTCGCTTTGTCTGCTCGGGCCTCTCAAGATGGCCGAGTTGGGTGGAGACAGCGTCTCCCTGGGCTGAGGCGGGCGGAGGCCGCATCCCTGTCTCCAATGTCACATGGGCTTTTCGGTTTCGATTTGTGTCCAGGCCGAGCCGGCTCCGGGAGGAATATTTTCCGGGGGAGACCCTTGGAGCCGTGGGCAGCCTGGATTCTGGCCCTTAGACCGTGGCGGGTCGGAGGGGAACCTTGGCGGGCAGGCGCCACAGCCCCTGCCTTGGAGGACCCAGGAGCGGAGGCCCACAGAACAGAATGACAGGGCCAGCCCGGGCCGCCTGCCGGGCATCCCTCTAGTACGGAGATGCTCTGACGTAGGTTTCCCTCTTGGTCCTCGGAGCATCCTTGCTGAATGGGTGTATCTCTCCGTTTTACACGTGAGGAAACTGAGGCTCAGGTTAAGTGTAGACTAGACTCAACATCTCCGTTTCCAGTCTGTTGCTTGTTTTCGCTGATCAGACCTATGTATTTGTGTAATGCTTAGATAATCCTGATAACCCTGTAATATTTGAGTCTGATTTTATAGATTAAAAGAATAAATAAGACTCAGTTTAAGCACCTAGTGTGGGGAGGAGGCAAAAGGTTTGCATATTCCAGCTGTCTCCTCAAATAGTGACCTTCCAAAAGCAAGGCTAGATTAATCCTGAGAGTCTGGAGTTTGCCTGAGGGTTTCTGGTTGATTCTTTAAAGCCACTTTGTAGTTGATGGTGAGCAAATTCGAGGAGCTCGTGTAGGGTGTGGCACCGTCCATTTGGGAACCCAGGGAGGATATCCAAGTAAATCTTAAAGGTAGCACCTAGGGATTGGGGATTGTCTGAAATGTTTGCCAACAAGTTTGTTATAATTTCAAAAAATTGTGTGGTTCTCTTGTCAGTAGGAGGACCTGTATACAATCTGCCTCACCCCCAACACATACTTGTATTTCTGATAGTTTGTTTCGTTCAAAGGCTGTTCTGACTCAGAAGACGCTTCACTGTAGCATTGGTTTCTACCAGAGGTTGGGAGAGTGTAAAGGAATACTTTTCTTAGATCCACATGGAATATTCAAAGCAAATGAAGCCATTTGAGCATATTTAGAGTATTAACGTTGTTTAAGGTTGTTCACCGTTATGTTTGGGGTTATGTATTTCTTTACAGAAATCACTAGTGTTTTTAAAAAATAAAATTTAACTCATCTACTCTTCTTTCAAAAAACATACATAGTCATCGTAGAAAATTTAAAGTATACAGATAAAATTAAAATCACCTAGAATCCTTCAACCCAGATATAACCACCATCAGCATTTTGGCATATGTCTTGACATTTTTCAATGGATACACATTGTTTTATTAAAATAAATTTTAGTCTGCATTTTTAAAGTTATTGGATTTTGTGTAGTTTGACTATGGATAATTCTGATCATATTTTTATTGTATAGTTGTATATTGAAATCAGTGACTTTTTTAACCTTGGGTCACAATTTCTTTTTATGAAAAAAATTTGTAAGTTTTGTTCTTTGCTTCTAGAGTGATCATCAGTAATTCACTTTTCTCAGACATCCTAGAATTGAATTTTGCTAAAATTAAAGGGGGCACAGGGGAGGGGAGAACTGTATTTTTGTGTATGCTTCACAGTGCAAATCATCTCTGTTTTCTTTATGGGTGAATTTTCTTCCTTTCAGCAAAACGAATATCCTGACATCCAAATCTTGGCTCCGTAATGACTTGCACTTTTGAAAGTTGACTAAGGAATGAGACTTATTTAAAATTGAAATCCTACCTCATTCTTATATTTATAAAAATCACTGAGGTATTTCTAGCAATTCAACCTGTCTATAATTTATTTTTCACTTACAAAAATCTAAGGTTTTTAAATTAATTCATTTATTCTATATAGTCCCATTGGTCTTATTAGCATGCTGGCTACAGTAGGAAAATAAGTACAGACCCATGACTCTTGGTAGGAGGGCTTTCTTCTGGGTGGTTTTTATGAATTAGCATTGACATTTGTACATTTAATCGAATATGTGCATCCAGTAGTTGATGAAAGCGAAAAGGTGGACTTACATTAATAGAGAAAACAGATCTGAATTGTTTAAACTGAATAAAGACCCCCCCAAAACAATGAAGTCATATAATTTATTTAATGAGTGGGGAAATTACTTTTATTTATTTTATTCCCTTCTCTTCTTTTTATGGAAAGAAGTCTCCAAACACTTGTAATTGAATATAGAAGCATTTTTTATATGAAGCCATATGTATTCCTTTTCTTTTTTTTTAAGCTGCCCCATAAAACTTTTTTTGTTGTTAAAGTACAGCACTCCTCAAAGTATAGAATAAAGGTTGTGAATTTAACAGCTCATTTTGACGGTGAAGAATTGGAGAGTCTGTGGAAGAGGGAATGTTGTTATACAGTTTTTTGGGGGTTTTTTTTTAAAGATGACCGGTAAGGGGATCTTAACCCTGGCCTTGGTGTTGTCAGCACATGGAGAGTCTGTGGAAGAGGGAATGTTGTTATACAGTTTTTTTTGGGTTTTTTTTTAAAGATGACCGGTAAGGGGATCTTAACCCTGGCCTTGGTGTTGTCAGCACCACGCTCTTCCAAGTGAGCTAACCGGCCATCCCTATATAGGATCCGAACCCGGGGCCTTGGTGTTCTCAGCACCACACTCTCCTGAGTGAGCCACGGGCTGGCCCTGCAGTTCCTCATTTTAAAAAGAGAAATATTATTTCTGTAATTCCTGGCCTATAAGAAATAACTTTCTTTGTAGTATACTTAGAAAATTGTGACCAAATAGGTGCTCATTACATCATTAAGCATTTCACAATGTTAATAATGTTTTTGTAGTGCTTTTTACTTGAAGTGCAGTTTTTGTTGTGTTCTACTCCCATGGGAGTTTGGGTGCTGTAGGTAGGGGCATAATAGGTATGCTTCAGTTTGCAGCTGGTGGAACTGATGGTTCTGTGACTTGCTTGTGCTCTCTAGCTTGTTAGTGACCAGACTGCTGGGATCTGGTGCTGGGAGAGGGAGTGTGTGTTTAACACTCAAGTGTATAAGGCTTGGACCTTTGTCTTTATGACCAAAAATAGTGGCAGCCCTTCGGTGAATACTTATCTTAGGTTCAGAATTACAGTTTTTCCTGAGGCAGGTCATTTGGGGGTTTCACCTCCTTGTTGTTGGTGCAGAGATGGCTAGGAATGGAATATGAAAGAAAACAGAGCTTTTTACAGTATTCAACTTCATAGAGATATAGCAGTGTGGAAAGGCTTATGGGAAATATTTTTGTGGGTTTTTAAAAATTGGTTTTCTGAGGATTTAATTTTCTTAAAGTATGAAGAAATGTAGTAGATTGATGACTCAGAAGTATAGTCTTAATTTCTGACCTTTGCTTAGCCTCCCCATATGATTTGTAAAATGGTTAATATATTAACAAGAAGAGTTTTCTATAAAACCATCTGGCCTTGCAGCACCAGAGGAGACCATCAGCCTGGGTTCTTACTGTTCCAAGCTGTCACGCTGTACAGGCCCTAACCCTTTATAGGACAAACCAGTCTGCAGCAAAGTACATTTGAATGTGTAGCATAGCATAGTGAATGAAATTTATGTACAGCAGAGGCAAAACAGTAATCACTTCTTTTTAAAAAGTAAGGATGGATGGAATTGTTTATCAGCATTGTAGAATATCAGGTTGGAAAGAGCAGGAGGGATTTAGTTCAGCCCTTGTCTTTCATGAATGAGAAAACTAAAACCCCAGGATTTTAAGACCCAGTTGGGAAAAGGATGTCTTAAGGAGGATTCTGAAACCTAAAAACTAATCTCTCTGCATTTCCTTGGTATCCATAAAAATGGGAGTGTTTGTTTTAATCTATTTTATGTCAATTATTTCTTTAGAATTAGTACTAACTTAAAAAGTACTAAGTTTTAAGTTCCTTAGGCATTAATAACTTTTTTTTTTATCCCGTATTTCTCTTTTTTTCTGGAAAATTCAAAATGAATTTCAGTTTTACATTAGGTAGAAATATTATTGGGGTTTAATGCTCCCTTCATACTTCTAAAAGTGTTACAGTGGAAATCTTCAGGTTGGGAAGAAAACTCAGACTTTCTCACCATGTTCTTAGCAGGGAGTGGTTGTGGCAAAGAAGTCACAGCTCCCCAGGAGGACGAAAGAGTAGACATCCAGGTGACAAGAGGGAGCACCAGAGATGGGAAAGGGGAAGAACTAACAACCACATGGGGAAAAAAGGGAAGGACATGTGTGGTAGTGATCAACCAAAGTAATATGGTATTATTATGTTTTGGATTTTAAAGGGGGAAGAAGATGAAAGATAAAGAGAACCAGGGATGTGTAACAAGCAGTTTGGTAGTGCATGTGGGCTGGAAGAGATGAATGGCTTCATCTGCTAGACTGAGAAGAGACTTGCTCTGCAGCTGGGAGAAGGTTGGGAGGGAAGAGAAAATGAAGGAATGACCCAGGGTCTGGTACTTACTTTACCAGTATGTTTTATCCCTTTTCCAACTGGCCGTTCACCAACCTTTGTGAAAACATGTCCTGTATACTCAGGAGAGGGTAGTATAATTCTTAAAGCAATTGAATACCAGTATGTTTTATCCCTTTTCCAACTGGCCGTTCACCAGCCTTTGTGAAAACATGTCCTGTATACTCAGGAGAGGGTAGTATAATTCTTAAAGCAATTGAACTTGCATCTTTTTAGTATTTCATTAAACAAGATATATGTTCACCTAATTCACAATGGAATGATACAGATCACTAGTAGTTTGAAGTACATTAAACTAGTCTTTCAATAGAAGTATACACAGATTAGTGCTAAATGCTATTTTGAACATCTCTAGAAATTCAGTGAACTCAGAAAACCAGAGAAGTGTCCACAAGTCATTGTAACGTGTATTAGTTGCTTGTAGCACAAGAACTCATGAGGCAGGTGCAGTACTTTCTCTACTGGTACTTTGATTCTTTGACTGTATTAACAGGCAGTACAATATTGGTCCATTATTTACAAGGGTACTTCAAAAAGTTTGTGGAAAAAATAGAATTAAAAGATAATACGAATCTTTCCATGAATATTTTGAGGACCCCTCATATCAACCAGTAACTTTATCAAGTATCAGGAAACTGATTCAAACTTTACTAAAAGCGGTATTACTGGATAAAACATGCAGATTGTGTTTGTTGTATGCTTCTGAATGAAGCAGGACTAATAGCCTCTTTGTTAAGAATTAATAATCAAGTGTCTTTCCTCTGAACAATTTTTTAAAAACATTTCTACAAAACTAAAATGTCAAATTATTATTTGGAAGATATAATAATTTTTAGAGATGTAATAACTTACAAAGAGGCAAGAAGGTTAAATTATTTGATGGCAATTCATAACGCTATAAATTCTGTAACTATAAATGAAAGTCTTACATGCTCAGACTTCATTTGATCTCTGTATTTATAAGGAACATGCATAAAAAGACCAATCTAAGATATATTCTATGACTGATTAATGATGACTTCTATAAGTTATTGTTATCAAGAGCAGTTAGAATTTAACAAAGCAGTAGGGAATATTTAGTTGCACTCTCATCATTTGAAGATTATGTCATTGGGTGTGCCTTCCTGAGCCGAAGCAGCATTCTACTGCATTGCAGTATTCCTAGTGCAGAACTGGAGCGTTCGCCACCCAGCCGTGACTCATCGATTGGAATGGTGCCTAGTTCCCCTAACCCCGTTTGCATTAGGAAGTGCAGACAATGTGCTTGGAGCTGTGTCTGGACTGTATACTATCTACATGAATTTATTTGTATAGGTGATGTCTTTATATAGAACTCCCAGATACCAGTTGTTAACATTTGCCACTTTTATGTTGCCTTTTTTTTTTTTTTAAAACAGATGACCGGTAAGGGGATCTTAACCCTTGACTTGGTGTTGTCAGCACCACGCTCTCCCAAGTGAGCTAACCGGCCATCCCTATATAGAGATCCAAACCCTTGGCCTTGGTGTTATCAGCACCACACTCTCCCACGTGAGCCACGGTCTGGCCCTTATATTGCCATTTTTTTCCCTGAATCATTTGACAGTTGGTTATAGACATGCCCCTTTATCCCTATTTCCTGGGAAGGAAGGAGTGATTCAAATTTAATATACCATTTAGTTGTGTCAGTAATTTCCTTTGGTGATTATAAAATGTTGTTATTATTTTCTGTATATTATTTGGGTGGGGCAGAATATACTTGGGGGTGGTGGTGGTGGAAAGTGACTTCTGTGTTTGGAGCACAGGGGGATGAGACTGTGGGGATGGGGTGGCAAGAACTTGGTAATAGCCAACACCAGCCAGTACTACCACAGGCCAGGCCCTGCTCTGGCGTTTCACATGTGTCAACTTGCTTAATCTTTCCAACAACCCAGGCATGCCAGAACCACCCCATTTTACAGACAAAGAAATGGAGGTGCAGAGAAGTTAACCACTATGCCCACGATCACACAGCAAATAAGTGACCAAGTCAGTAGTCAGAAAAAATGGGTCGGAAGGGAAAAATAAGTAGCACCAAGTCAGGTTGGGGTGGGGTGAGAATAATCCTTCTCTAAGCAGAGGCAGAATATACTTGGGGGTGGTGGTGGAAAGTGACTTCTGTGTTTGGAGCACAGGGGGATGAGACTGTGGGGATGGGGTGGCAAGAACTTGGTAATAGCCAACACCAGCCAGTACTACCACAGGCCAGGCCCTGCTCTGGCGTTTCACATGTGTCAACTTGCTTAATCTTTCCAACAACCCAGGCATGCCAGAACCACCCCATTTTACAGACAAAGAAATGGAGGTGCAGAGAAGTTAACCACTATGCCCACGATCACACAGCAAATAAGTGACCAAGTCAGTAGTCAGAAAAAATGGGTCGGAAGGGAAAAATAAGTAGCACCAAGTCAGGTTGGGGTGGGGTGAGAATAATCCTTCTCTAAGCAGTTGATAAATAAGAAATTGGAAACATTTATAAGAATTTGATTCAGTGTTTATTATGATTTGTAGAGGATGTTGGTGATGAAGGAGAAGAAGAAAAAGAATTCATTTCGGATCACACAGCAAATAAGTGACCGAGTCAGTAGTCAGAAAAAATGGGTCGGAAGGGAAAAATAAGTATCACCAAGTCAGGTTGGGGTGGGGTGAGAATAATCCTTCTCTAAGCAGTTGATAAATAAGAAATTGGAAACATTTATAAGAATTTGATTCAATGTTTATTATGATTTGTAGAGGATGTTGGTGATGAAGGAGAAGAAGAAAAAGAATTCATTTCCTATAACATCAACATAGACATTCATTATGGGGTTAAGTCCAACAGGTGAGTAGTAAGAATATGTTATTATCTCAGACTTAAATTTGTGAAAGTTAATGTAAATCTTAATTGACTCAGATGAGCACATTAAGAAAACACTCAAAAGATTTTTGCTGTTTAAATTTAGTATCTTGTCTTTGGTTTCATGTCTTCAAATTAAGAGGATTTCCAAGTCAATAGAAATTCTAAACTATTTTTATTTTAATTGTCATTATATTCATCTTAAGTTTGAGCTATAATGTACTTAGAATGTCTAATAATACTCTCAGATTACAGTTGGTTCTCCACATCCTCAGGTTCTGCGTTGGTGGATTCAACCAACCATGGATCCAAAATATTTTTCAAAAAATAAAAAATAACAATTCAACAATAAAAATAATACAAATAAAAACCATATAGTATAACCCCTATTTACATAGTATTTGCATTATATCGTTGGTGGATTCAACCAACCATGGATCCAAAATATTTTTCAAAAAATAAAAAATAACAATTCAACAATAAAAAATAATACAAATAAAAACCATATAGTATAACCCCTATTTACATAGTATTTGCATTATATTAGGTATTATAAGGAATCTAGAGATGATTTAAAGTATACAGAACAATGTTGCATAGGTGATATGCAAATACCACACCATTTTATATAAAGGTCTTGAACATTCATGGCTTGGTCCTGGAACCAAGTCCTGGCAGACATTGAGGGACAACTGCATATCTGATTTTTCATTATTCCCAGTAATTAGTAAACATTCTTTTGTAAAGGTCTGATTCTTTTTAGGATAAATCCTGAAGATATCATTACTAGTTTAGATGCAAATCATCATTAAAGTTTTTAATTGCATGTTACCAGATTTCCCACCTTCCAGAAAGGTTGTACCAATCTATACTCAAATAGACATATCCACATTTAAATATGTAAATGTTATAATTGATTCTGTATTGGTTTTTAAAAAAAATTATTTTGAGTAATTTCAGGGTTACGGCCAAGCCACATGAATAGTATGTAGACCACCCAGATATCAGTTGTTAACATTTGCCACTTTTATATTGCCATTTTTTCTCCCGAATCATTTGAGAATTGATTATAGACAACATGCTCCTTTATCCCTATTTTTTGGGAACAAGAACATTCTCGTTCATAGCCTCAATACAATTACCAAATTCTGGAAATGTGATATTGCTACAATATTATTCTCTAATTGCAGTATATGTTCAGATTGTCTCAGTAATGCCCCTTATAGTAATTCTCCCCTGATCCAGAATCCAATCCAGGATCACACTTTACCTTTAGTGTCCTGTCTTTCTAATCTCCTTTCGTCTGTAGCAGTACCTTAGCCTTTCTGTGTCTTTCATTACACTGACATTTTTGACAAGTACAAACCAGTGGTTTTATGGAACATCCCTCAGTTGGGTTTGTCTGGTGTTTCTCTGTGGTTAGATTCAGGTTATACATTTTTAGCAGAAATAGTATAGTGACTTTGTTCCTTCTAAGTGTGTTACAACAGGAAACTTTTTAGAGTAATATGAAGTATTTTGTATAAAGTATTAACCTGGGAACTAGAAAATTCAAATATTATTATTTATCTTTGAGCCGTTAATTCATCCAACTCTGAGCACAGTATGGCAGTAGTTATAGAATGGTACACAAAGAAATAAAACCTGGTTCCTATTCCCAAGAAGCTTTTGTGGTCTTTGGGGAAAAGTTTGGCAGGTACACAACCAACCATGACACTTGGAAAAATAGCATGGAAACATGGGGATTAGAGAGATTGCTCTGAGTAGGGAAAGCCCCATGAAAGAGGTCATGCAGGAATTGAGTTTTTAGGATTACCTTGAATTTCAGCAGATGAATATAGATTTCTTAAGCAAAGACACAAAGCACATGATATGTTTAGGGAATGGGACATCTAGTTTAAGTGGTGTGTCAGGGTGGAAGAAGGCATGTAGCAGGAGGTGAAACTGGAAGAGTTGGTTAGGGCCAGGCTAGGGGGAGCCTGAAATACCGTCTTGTCACTTCAGCCTGTGAGTGACTTTTGTTTATTGAAGCTGACAGGTGACTTAGTGCAGTAAATGAATGATACAAATTAGTATAAGATCAGATTTAAGTACATCTTGGCTTGTAACTTGCAGTTGCTAAGACAGGTTATTTTTAGGTCAAGATTATGAATTCAACCCGTATATGAGACGGGTTAACTTTGCCTGGTATCATGGTCACATGCTATAACCATAACCTTGATTCAGTAGTTCTCACATAGTAAGAAAGACAGGCAGTACATTTCACTATTAGGAAAGCAACAATTTAGTCTATTCTTAATTTGTATGCAACACAAAGAAGGCTACAGTTATTACGACTGATTAAGAATAAGACTCTGTCTAATGACTTCTTTTGCTTTCTTTTTAGCTTGGCATTCATTAAACGTACTCCTGTAATTGATGCAGATAAACCAGTATCTTCTCAACTCCGAGTCCTCACACTCAGTGAAGACTCACCATATGAAACGTTGCATTCTTTCATCAGCAATGCGGTCGCTCCTTTTTTTAAATCCTATATCAGAGAGTCTGGCAAGGCAGACAGGTAAAAACCATTTTCCTTCTGTGGTTTGAATGTTGTATTTCACTTAGTGTTCACAAGACAGTGTGGAAGATGATGTAAAACTCAGGAATTGGGAGAGTAAAGCTTTCTTGGCAAATCAAAAGGATATAAATCCTTTGCATTAATAATTATGTATATTAATATTTGGCAGATCTGAAATAATAGAATCTCTTTGGAAACCAATAACACTGAATTTGGAGGTGTTTGTATTGTTTTAGGGATGGTGATAAAATGGCCCCTTCAGTTGAAAAAAAGATTGCAGAACTTGAAATGGGACTCCTTCACTTGCAGCAAAATATTGAAATTCCAGAGATCAGCCTGCCAATTCATCCAATTATTACAAATGTTGCAAAACAGTGCTATGAACGTGGAGAAAAGCCAAAAGTTACAGACTTTGGTGATAAGGTTGAAGACCCAACTTTTCTCAATCAATTACAATCTGGAGTTAACCGCTGGATTCGAGAAATTCAAAAAGTAAGAGCACAGTATTGAAAGTTACCATGTAAAATACATCAGTCTTTGATATATTTGGGAAAACAGATACGAGTTTTTGTCGGTGAGGTAAATTCTGTGATTTTTCTAGCGATACTTCGTCTTGGTCCTAGGAATGCTCAGTGCAGGACTAGTGTTGGTCTGGGTAGAGTGATCAAGGTAGGAGTTTTTGTCGGTGAGGTAAATTCTGTGATTTTTCTAGCGATACTTTGTCTTGGTCCTAGGAATGCTCAGTGCAGGACTAGTGTTGGTCTGGGTAGAGTGATCAAGGTACAATTTGAGATTGTTTAAATAGTAACCCTGCGAAAACATTAATCTCAGAAGTCTCATACCTTTGATTTCAAATCAAACCACTTTTAATTTACAGAGAAAGAAATCTACGTGAAATTTAAAAATTAAGTGTAATGCATGTGTTTTGTATGGTTGGTTGGTTTTTGATGGCTGGCTGGTACAGAGATCCAAATCCTTGACCTTGATGTTTATCAGCACCATCCTCTAACCAACTGAGCTAACCAGCCAGCCTGTAATGCATGTGTTTTGTTCATGATACTTTTTCTGCCTTTGTTTAAATAGTGAATACCCTTGAACGTTATTTATCTTCAAAGGTAACCAAACTTGATCGAGATCCTGCATCAGGAACTGCCTTACAGGAAATTAGCTTTTGGCTAAACTTGGAGCGTGCATTATACCGCATTCAGGAGAAACGAGAGAGTCCAGAAGTACTACTGACTCTGGACATCTTGAAACACGGCAAGCGTTTCCATGCCACCGTCAGTTTCGACACTGATACAGGTAACAACTAGAACTAATCATCTGATCAGTAAGTTATTAACCTGGCTTTTGCGAGATCTTATTCAGTAATTTAGATGAAAACTAATAGATGTATTATCTTTTTTAACTATTTTATCTCTTGTATCTTGTCTCATCTTTCCCTGTATTCTAGATAATGAAAATTATTTTTCACATGCATATCTTTACCTTCAGGGGTTTTGAGAACATGAGACAGTTTCTGGGCCTGTGTATAGTGAGCCCTGGGAGTTTCCCTCCTGTTTGGTTCCTTGAGTAGGCTGTAGTTTTTGGTATAACATATATTCAAGTGTGCTTTTGACAATCCAAGCAGGAAGATGATTTAAGTTAAGCAGAAGTTATTTGCCCAGGGGGCTGTGGAAGGAGAGCTGGTCCACACTGCTTTCTCCTCTTCTTTTTTCACCTGCGCCTTTCTCTTCTGCTCTGCCTTCCTGCCTATTCTCATAACTGGTCAAAATAAATTTAGTTTTCTGTGTGCAGAGCAGGGTAAGTGATTAGCATGTACTAGGCACACAAATGTTTGAAGGACCAGGCATTGTTAGCTATTTCTGTACAACTCTGTGCCCACAGAGACATGTCAGAACAAGTAATTAAGGCAGCAGCAGTTGTCGTGTTCTTCTCCCTGCTCCCCAAAGAAGGTGTGGTACCAGCATTTTAAATGTTGGAGGAAATCCCAAGTAGAAACCTTCCAGTTTCTTTGATCACGTTGCAGACGTTACCTGGGCATTTACTAATGCTGAAATGTATACCTTGTATAACTTGTCATCGTCTTTTTTTTTTTTTTTTTCAAACACCTGAACCCTTTATTTCTTTCCTAATACTTTTTTCTATCTTACGCCAGAGAAGTCAAGAAATAGACGAGGACATGGGTGCTTCTGTGATTCCATGTCCATAATAACTCACTGACCTAACTCAAGCTGTGGGTATAAGGTTTAAATTTTAGTGTTCTCAAGGGTGATAAAGTTTTAGTTTTTCTAAATTTAATTGTTGTTGTTAGAACATTTATAGAAGGAAAACAAGAAAAGATAAAATCTATGAGACTACCACCCACAGCCTTTAGAATGTGTATGAGTTGACCCATAGTCTTAAAAAAGCAAAAATGGGACCACACTAGAACCACACTAGAATTATCCTGTTCATAGCATGTTCTTTTTTCAAATATCACAGATAGTTTACATGTCACTAAATCTTTTACAACATCAAAATGTTTCACTTGTATCTTACTTTACTTGTTTTATTACTTTACATGAAAATCGTTATTTGTTTCTCTGTTAATCCAGGTCTAAAACAGGCTTTGGAAACCGTGAATGACTACAATCCTCTGATGAAAGATTTCCCTCTGAATGATTTGCTGTCTGCCACTGAGCTGGACAAAATACGGCAGGCGCTTGTGGCAATTTTCACCCATTTGAGAAAGATTCGAAACACAAAATATCCCATCCAGAGGGCACTGCGCTTGGTGGAAGCAATTTCAAGAGACTTGAGTTCTCAATTACTCAAAGTATTGGGCACTAGAAAATTGATGCATGTTGCTTATGAAGAATTTGAAAAAGTACGTTTTAATATATTAGAAAACCCAGCCTCAAGGCTTTGAGATGAAAATATGCTTTAGTAATAAGCTTGCTTTCTAAATTATATCCTAGGTTATGGTAGCATGCTTTGAAGTTTTTCAGACTTGGGATGATGAATATGAGAAACTTCAGGTGTTGCTGAGAGACATTGTCAAAAGAAAAAGGGAAGAAAATCTGAAGATGGTGTGGCGTATCAATCCTGCTCATAGGAAGCTTCAGGCTCGCCTTGATCAGATGAGAAAGTTTAGACGCCAGCACGAACAGCTGAGAGCTGTCATCGTCAGGGTCCTAAGGCCACAGGTATGATTTGCTTTCTGAACATTTGTACATGCATTGTTTCAATGCTTTTTTTAAAAGAATTAGCTACTTCTATTTTACCCTGAGTACTTTAGCTCCATTTTTGTCTTGGCACTATCATCTTTAGATCTAGTGATCCTGTATTACATCGTTTCAATCCAAACCCTTAATGTTCTCCATCCACTCATCCTTTCTCCCATCTTGCATGGTCACTAGCACCAGACATCCTGGGTTAAGTCCTGATTCCACCATTTACTAGCTATGTTACCTGAACACATTCTTAAACTTTTTTTTCTCAGTCTTCATCTATAAAATGGATAATTGCATGTGTCTGAGATTTATTAAAAGAATTAAATGACTCTTCTTTGTATATGATGTTTTTCTCTTGTGAATTTACCTTCTTCATCAATTCTTTTCTTTCTTTAAGAAACCTACCACAACAAAACTGCATTGTCAGAAAATCTTTATAGAGCCAAGTTAAAACATACTCTTATAATGTTTTACTTGGCTTTGTTGAAAAGTGGTTGTAAAACGTTTGAGTAAAGGTTTAAAAACCTGTGTTGCTTACTGTTAATTTTTGTGTGGTGCATATAACAAAATAAAAATCTTCATTTGGTAAACATTTTTTTGTTACAAATTTTTCTCTTTTAGGTCACAGCAGTTGCACAGCAGAATCAAGGAGAGGTACCTGAACCCCAAGATATGAAAGTAGCTGAGGTTCTCTTTGATGCTGCTGATGCGAACGCTATTGAGGAAGTAAACCTTGCTTACGAGAACGTCAAGGAGGTAGATGGGCTAGATGTTTCCAAAGAAGGCACAGAAGCTTGGGAGGCTGCAATGAAGAGATACGACGAGAGGATTGACAGGGTGGAGACCCGGATCACAGCTCGCCTTCGAGATCAACTTGGCACAGCCAAGAATGCTAACGAGATGTTTAGGATTTTCTCCAGGTTCAATGCACTGTTTGTCAGGCCTCATATCCGTGGAGCTATTCGTGAATACCAGACCCAGCTGATCCAGCGTGTGAAAGATGACATTGAATCTCTTCACGACAAGTTCAAGGTCCAGTATCCACAAAGTCAGGCTTGTAAGATGAGTCATGTTCGTGATTTGCCTCCTGTGTCAGGGTCTATCATCTGGGCTAAACAGATCGACAGACAACTGACTGCCTACATGAAACGCGTGGAAGATGTCCTTGGCAAGGGCTGGGAGAATCATGTGGAAGGCCAGAAGCTGAAGCAGGATGGAGACAGCTTCCGCATGAAGCTCAACACCCAAGAAATCTTTGATGACTGGGCGAGGAAGGTGCAGCAGCGCAACCTCGGGGTTTCGGGGCGCATTTTCACCATCGAGAGCACACGGGTTCGGGGCCGAACTGGAAACGTCCTTAAGTTAAAAGTTAACTTTCTTCCTGAGATTATCACACTTTCAAAAGAAGTCCGCAACCTCAAGTGGCTTGGTTTCCGAGTCCCACTGGCTATTGTGAATAAGGCTCATCAAGCAAACCAGCTTTACCCGTTTGCCATCTCACTGATCGAAAGCGTCCGTACCTACGAACGGACCTGTGAGAAGGTTGAGGAGCGGAACACCATTTCGCTTTTGGTAGCTGGCTTGAAAAAGGAGGTGCAGGCTTTGATCGCGGAAGGCATTGCATTGGTGTGGGAGTCCTACAAACTTGACCCATACGTACAGCGCTTAGCAGAGACTGTCTTCAACTTCCAAGAAAAGGTGTGTTCTAGTTCAATCCTCAAGTGTCCTTATCAGGACACTTGAATTACACATAGCAATAGGTAACTCAGAACGTTAGTTCTCCCATAGAAGGCACGCATGGCTCATGCAGCATAAGGCCATTTGAGCTCAGAGGGAGAAGGAGCCATTTACTGGCCATCCCGTTTGATGGGGTTTAGGCTTTAGGGAGGCCATTAAGTAATGCCCTGTGTTTAGAAACCAATGGAGTGAAGGACCCAGGAGTCTGGCATAGCTTCCTTACTAACACAGCTGAACATGGAGAACATGGCTTCAGATCTGCAGCCACAAGCACGTGCTAATGATCCACCCCAGATGTAGACTTCCTTCCCAGTCTCTAGCACAGCTGGACAGTTGTAGAACTCCTGGCACAGAGGCTGCTGCTGCGAGCAGACTAGAGTGCCTGCACCTGGTGCACAGGCTAACCCCAAGGGCAGAGGACAGGCTGAGGGAGCACATTTACTTCCATCTTACCCATCCCATGAGCAGGAGTAAGTAAGGGGAGAGAAGCCAATATGTTCCATACATTTCCTGTCCTTCTGTGAGGACTTGGGAGTGGGGAAGCGTTCTCACCCCAACAACTAGGAATAGCTATTTATGGACGAACTTCTCTGCGTCAAGCATTTGTTAACTAACTGGGGAAAATGTGTATAAAAATAAAGGAATAGAGTGAGTAGGTGTTGTAAATATTTAATATGCCTTCCTTCAGGTGGATGATCTGCTGATTATTGAAGAAAAAATAGACCTGGAAGTCCGTTCCTTGGAAACATGTATGTATGATCATAAGACTTTCTCAGAGATCTTGAACAGAGTCCAGAAAGCAGTGGATGACTTAAACCTGCACTCCTACTCCAACTTGCCCATCTGGGTCAACAAGCTTGATATGGAGGTAAGGGGTGGGATTTATTAGAGTTTTTCATTTTTCTACTGCTGACACGGGAGTGCACCCTGTTCAGTAAGTTTATTGGTTTGTCACTGAAAAGCATTTTTCCTTAGAAATTTTCTGTGATCACCTAATTCTTCTCCAGAATCCCATTTAATTAATGACAGCTGAACTGCGATGCTGTGTGTCAGTGCTTATGCCAGTTCTAAGTTGGGAGCATGGAGTTGTGACGGAGGAAGAGTTCCCTCATTTGCGGCTATTTGACAACTGCCTGTTTGCCCTTCCCTGGCCCTCTCGGGATTTAGGTTACTTTTCCAGCCCTCCAGGCATCCTCTGACAATGCTGCTCCCCCCCCCCTCAGTTTAGAAGAAAGCCCCAGGCACAAAACACTTCTTATTCCTTGCCTCGAGGACCTTGGCCCACCTCTGTAGGGTGGTGAAGTGTGTATTTGAAGCACACTTTGCAGATCCATACGACTTTGTTCACTGGTGGACTTTAGGGAGCATATCAGCAGAACGTCTTGGGAAGGAGGATGTTTTCGAGCAGAGGTTACAGGTTACACTTGCTCAGTTCCCAAGCTGTTTGTGTTTTGTTTTTTTCTTTCTCTCCCTTTCTTAAAATGGATCAGTAAGTTGCGGTGTATCCACACACCGGGACGTGAACAGAGTGAAAGTTGACAGACCCACTCCCTTGAACCCACAGATGGTCTGAAAGTCCCTGTTTTTTATGACGGCAGCCCTCACCACATTCCCAGGATAGTTTTGTGGCCCCAGGCAGACTGTTGACAAAGGCCTACAAACATTCTATTCATAAGAAATTTGCTTCATTCTAGATTAGAGAGAAGACTTTCTCCTTTACTAATTGTTAAAACGGTTTGATCTCCAAATTATACTTTTTCTAGTTTTATCTCTGAGGCTGCCAAGGAAGCACTTTTGTGAATTTTCTCTTGAACAAATATCAAGACCTTAACTGCATCTGCTGCATTTGGACTAGTATCCTTGTCACTGTTTTACAAGTTGGGAGGATTGGTGGTTCAGCACAAAGGTGGAGGACACAGTCTTAACAGATCAGTTACCTGAGGCTGGGAGAAAGTGACAGAGTGAGACTCTTGAGAACAGAGAGATGAAGGGTGCAGTTAGCAACTTTACCTTTGACCTGAAACACTTACTGCTTTCTAATTAACATGCTTTGTGAGCTGACTTTTGGAAGAAATACCGTTCTCTGACACTTGCATCTCTGTAGATTGAAAGAATATTGGGTGTTCGTCTACAAGCTGGCCTAAGAGCTTGGACCCAGGTTCTTCTTGGACAAGCTGAAGATAAAGCAGAAGTTGACATGGATACAGATGCTCCACAAGTTAGTCACAAGCCTGGCGGAGAGCCAAAGATCAAAGTGAGTATTTCCCGTGATGTCCTATTTGCTAGTAAGTAAAATTCTCCCCTTAAAAAGTACCTATGAGGGGCCGGCCCATGGCTCACTTGGGAGAGTGTGGTGCTGATAGCACCAAGGTCGTGGGTTTGGATCCCTATATAGGGATGGCTGGTTAGCTCACTTGGGAGAGCGTGGTACTGACAACACCAAGTCAAGGGTTAAGATCCCCTACCGGTCGTCTTTTGAAAAAGAAAAAAAAAAATGTACCCATGAAAAAGTCACTTTTCAGTGAAGAGAACTGACAGACCACATCTTAACCAGGTGATGAAGGTTAACATTACCAGCGATATTGTGTGGGTATCGCGTCCCCTCTGACGTGTAATGAGAAATGCACTTTACTTCTGCAGTCTTTTACCCCATATCCTTCAATCTTATTTTAATCATGAGAGAAACATACAAACCCACATTGAGAGTCAGTCTAAAAAATGCCTGATCAGTGCTCTTCCAAAGCATCACAGTCATGAAAGACAAGGAAAAACAGAAAGTTTCACAGAGTGGAAGGGATTAAGGAGATGTGATAACTAAATGTAATATAGTATCAATTAGATCCTGGGAAACCTGACTGGAGTCTGTATTTTAGTTAATAGAATCGTGTTAATGTTTATATCACTATATCATGTAAGGTGTTAACATGAGAGAAAGCTGGCAAAAGGTCTATGGAAACTTTGTACTTTCTTTGCAACTCTCCTATAAGTCCAAAATAATTTCAAGAAAAGTCTTTAAAAAGTGAAAAATAAGTTTTAGAAAAAAATTTGCACTGGGAGAAAAAAATTCTACTTACCAAGCATACGTATGCAATAAGTTATTTCAAAAACTAAGGACAATCCGCCACAAGTAAATTTCAGGCTATGGCACTAAATTATCTGCACTGTCTTAAGAAAAGTCTAAATCTAGTCCCGTGGAGGAGCGCAGTAGTGCAGCAGTCACCACACTGGGCAGCAATCTGTGTCTCCAAGCCACCCCTTTCCCACTTGTGTGGAGAAGTGCTCAGCTGGAGTTTAACAAGCTTTCTAGAGAATTCAGTATTAAGAAAAGTCTAAATCTAGTCCCGTGGAGGAGCGCAGCAGTGCAGCAGTCACCACACTGGGCAGCAATCTGTGTCTCCAAGCCACCGCTTTCCCACTTGTGTGGAGAAGTGCTCAGCTGGAGTTTAACAAGCTTTCTAGAGAATTCAGTAATTCCTTTCATTAGAACTATGCAAGTGGGTCCTGTCTGCTGCTGCTGTGGGTGGTGTTATAAAGGTGTCCACCTTTAGTAATTCATAAGCCATGCATTTGTCTTTTGTGTTTAACAGTGTTTGTATACCAATGTTTATTTACCAGTAAAAAGGCCTCACAAAACAGAAGCCTAAAAGAACTGTGCAAGTAAAAACTTTGATCTGGGAGAAACAATTGGCTTTTTTTTCCTACCCAAACTTTACCTTTCCTTTTTTTTCTGTTAATGCTTGAAAAATGTTTTCACTTTTGAATATTACAGGTATTCATCCTTACAGCATACTTTTAAAAATACCGAGTCCCAGAAAAGCAAATGGAAGTGTCTAAGTCAGTACCATTATCTAGAGGGAACTGAGTTGGAATTCTTGGTTAGCTTAAACCACTGGCAGGTGGTACAGACTTACCCCAACTGGTTCAACCTGGTCAGTGCAGTGTGTGCCTGACAGCTAATGCCTGCCTCCTGTAACTGCATTGGGGGCTCTTGAGATCTGACACCTCGAGGTCATTACATCAAGAGGTTGTCGTGTAGTCAGATCAGATGGTGTGTCATTGAGCACTTGTGTGTTTGGCACCTGGGCACTGGCGGCCCCTGGAGAAGGTGAAGCAGCACCAGCCCTCTGACTTTTTATGATCTTGGGATGGAAGGTAGGGGGTGAGAGAGCACAAATTACAAACATGAAATTAGATGAGACCACATCTAATAATAATAAGTGACAGACTTTGTGGGTCAGACTGAAGTAGTTTGATAATTTAGAGAGAGAAGGTGTTAAGTATCAAAACCATTTTATTGAAATAGGTTGCTGAGTGAAAAATGAAACCTTTCTTTTACAGAATGTTGTTCATGAGCTCAGAATAACCAATCAGGTAATCTATTTGAATCCACCAATTGAAGAGTGCAGGTACAAGCTGTACCAGGAAATGTTTGCCTGGAAGATGGTTGTGCTGTCCCTCCCCAGGATCCAGAGTCAGAGGTACCAGGTAAGCCTTCCAGGGACTCGAAGCACACACCTCTCCTGGGCTCTGTGACGCCACTTCTCTATGGCGCCTCTTTAAATAAGCTGTTTTCAAACTCCAGCCTCCAGGTTCAACATCCTGAGGGAGAGCTAGAGGAGGCTTTGTGTGACCTGATTTTTTTTCCAAAGTTACTTGGCATTTGTAGCTTGGTCTTAGTGGTCTGTTAGAAATTATCTCCATGAGCTTCGTTGGGAATCTTAATTCCTGCTTCTCCCCACTCCCTCCACGTTTTATTTGGGAAATTTTCAACATACACAAAAGTGTAGGGACTCATGAGGTCCCACCATCCAGCTTTATGTATCAACATACTGCCAATTTTACTTCATTTATATTTCTTTTCCCACCTCCCCACCCCCACCAGGTTATTTTAAAGCAAATTCCAGCTATAATTTACTCTTATTAGTATGTTTCTACAGCAAAAGAAAACATTCAAAGACCATTTAGTTCCTGGCCTCTAGCCAATGTTACTTCTAAGTGGGACCAATGGTTTTCAAATAAAAAGATTCTACAACCTCTGCTATGGCAGACTCTTACAGAATTTAGAGATCTTATTAGGAAGTTACCTCTTTTCTTAACTTTGAACGTAAATTCAGTTCTTTTATGATTTTTTTGAGGTAATTAATTGCCTGTGGCTTGCAATCTTGGCAGTGTTTAGCCCAAAACTTGACAGTGTCCAGCTAATCAGACCAAGCTATGAATATTGGTTCCTGCCTCTCGAGGAGTATACGTACAATCTTAGGATCGTTCTTGTTATGTTTCTTCTGTCTTTAACTAGCTGTGTTTCTGTTTGCATTGTTCTCTTGTTTATCTCCAAATTTAAGAAACTAAAGGCAGCCCTGTCCGTGTGCATTAGATCCCATTTCCTCTCGCTGTTGCTCAGCAGTTCTTCCCTGTCCTCTGAGTCATCCTGTCAGTGCATAAACCTATGCCCTGCACCTATCTGGTTTCTTGCTCATCGTAAGGCAGGGCTAAGGAAGCGTTATCTTTCCTAGCATCTGCAGTGCCCCTCTCCCTCTTCTCTCAGACGCTTGCCCATCCCTCAGCCAGTACCGCTCCTGGCTGGTCACAGTGACTTCCACCCCCAACCAGTGGGCTTCTCAGTCCTGGTCTTTCTGAGCTGGCTGCATGGTGGAACAGGTGCTGTCTCCCTCCTCCTTAATGCAGAGTGACTTGGCTCTTCCAGAGCACCATGCTGTCCAGGTTTTCCTCCCACTTCACTGGCTAGTCTCCTTTATTGGTTCCTCTTTTGCTCACCCTCTGCCCAACCTCTAAATGTTCCATGCCCTCTCTACCCCCCTCATCTTCTCAGTGGTCTCATCCAGGCCATTGACTTCACATACCATCTACGTGCTGACAGCTCTGTGCTGAGATCCCCAGTCTTCATCCTGATGCCAGGCCTGTCTGTCCCACCGCCTACTTGGCATCTCCACTTGGCTATCTGGTAGATGTATCAAATCAAACACATCTCTCCAGTCCCCCTTCCTCAAGTTTGACTTTCTGCAGTCTTTCATTCCCACCCTTCACCCAACAACTCAGGCCAGAAGTCATGGTGTCATCCTTGACTCCTGTTGTCTCTGTCCTCAGAATTTAGCCTAATCTGTTTCTTACTACATCTGCTGCTACTTCCCCTTTCCAGGGTACCACCATCTCTCCCTTGGATTATTAACATTCTCTCCTCGGGCCAGCCCGGTGGTGCACTGCTACAGTGCGCCGCTTGGGAGTGCGGTGGCTCTCCCGCCGAGGGTTCGGATCCCACATACAGACCGGTTCCCGAGTGGCTTCCTTTCTCACTTAGCATGACAGCTGAAGTCCCACAGTGGCTTGCTGGGCCCCCCCTAGTATGCTGCTTGTTGCTTCTCTGACTTCAGCTCCTGCTTCTCCACTCCTTGGCTGTGCTCCAGCCACACTGGACTCTTGGTGGGCCTCAGACTTTGCCAGGCAGACTCTTGCCCCTGGACCTTTGCACTTGCTGATCTCTCTGCTCAGGATCCCTGGTAGCAGGTATTCACATGGCTCGCTCCCTCCCCTCCATCTGGTCTCTGCTCAAATGCCACCTTCTTGGTGAGGCCTTTCCTGATCTCTCTGTTTAAAGTAAACCTTCTCCCCCATCCTCCATTCCCTGTCCTCCTTCGTGGCTTCCTTTCTCACTTAGCATGACAGCTGAAGTCCCACAGTGGCTTGCTGGCCCCCCCCTAGTATGCTGCTTGTTGCTTCTCTGACTTCAGCTCCTGCTTCTCCACTCCTTGGCTGTGCTCCAGCCACACTGGACTCTTGGTGGGCCTCAGACTTTGCCAGGCAGACTCTTGCCCCTGGACCTTTGCACTTGCTGATCTCTCTGCTCAGGATCCCTGGTAGCAGGTATTCACATGGCTCGCTCCCTCCCCTCCATCTGGTCTCTGCTCAAATGCCACCTTCTTGGTGAGGCCTTTCCTGATCTCTCTGTTTAAAGTAAACCTTCTCCCCCATCCTCCATTCCCTGTCCTCCTTCCTGCTCTTTCTCCATAGTATTTCTTACCACCTAACATTCTGTATATTTCACTTATTCCTTAATTGTCTCTCTCCTCCCATAGAATGTAAGTCCGTATGAGCAGGGTTTTTCATCTATCTCTTTATTGTACGTAGAATATTGCCTGGCACATCACAGACACTCAAATAGTTGAAAGAAGTGAATGACTTGTACTCTTCGGCTGTTTTTGCATTGTGTCATTAATGATGCCACATTTTTCTAGGTTATAGTTAATCTAATGTTTCTTTTATTGGTTTGATGAGTTTCTTAACTCATATAAGGAGGCTTACTCAGATAGTTGAAAGAAGTGAATGACTTGTACTCTTCGGCTGTTTTTGCATTGTGTCATTAATGATGCCACATTTTTCTAGGCTATAGTTAATCTAATGTTTCTTTTATTGGTTTGATGAGTTTCTTAACTCATATAAGGAGGCTTTCTGGTTACTTGTGGCTGGGTAAAGTGGATAACTAAGTAAAAGGTGACTCTGAGATTACCATTTTCATACACACTACTTGCATTCATTTCTGGCTTTGGGTGGTTAGGTGGGCGTACATTATGAATTGACTGAAGAAGAAAAATTCTATCGGAACGCGTTAACACGGATGCCTGATGGCCCTGTTGCCCTGGAAGAGTCATATTCTGCTGTCATGGGCATCGTAACTGAGGTCGAGCAGTATGTCAAGGTAAGAAGCTCCTGATTTTGTTCACATATATTATATAGTCTAATTCCAAACATTTAGGAGTATGAGATTTGAGGAATATGGTGCTAAAGATCTTGACTATATATAATGTTTGCTTCTTTTAAAGGAAAGTGTGAACAGTAGGACTAATCTTTTGGGAGATTTAATTATGATTTTTGAGAACACCAAATTTTATTCTTTTTTTATATGAAAATTCTAAATCTGAAGTGAGAATTTTTTGTATTGGTGATGAAAGAACATGAACCTTTTTAATGGAATATGAAAGTAATATATGTCTACAGAATAAAAAATAAAACTGTATCACTTAACTATTTAAACGTTCTTTATCTGCAGGTTTGGCTTCAGTATCAGTGTTTATGGGATATGCAAGCTGAAAACATCTACAACAGGCTTGGGGAAGATCTCAACAAATGGCAAGCTCTCTTGGTCCAAATAAGGAAGGCCAGAGGAACATTTGACAACGCGGAAACCAAGAAAGAGTTTGGACCAGTAGTTATAGATTACGGCAAGGTGAGCTCTGCTGTCTTACTGGACAGTGTCAGGGTAGCTGTAGACACAGCATTTCTGTTTGACTGAAATTAGGTTGAAGCATAAACACACCAGCAGGAAAGAACTGATGGTGTGTTGTGTGCTGCTTCCCCCGCAGGTGCAATCTAAGGTGAACTTGAAGTATGACTCTTGGCATAAGGAAGTTCTCAGCAAATTTGGGCAGATGCTAGGATCAAACATGACAGAATTCCATTCCCAAATCTCAAAGGTGAGGGGATAGGACTCTGCCAGTGTAACTAGTCTACTGGTGAACCTCGGCTTCATGATAAAATTACTACCCTCTCTCTGAACAGTCCCGCCAAGAGTTGGAGCAGCACTCAGTGGACACGGCCAGCACCTCCGACGCCGTGACCTTCATCACCTATGTGCAGTCTTTAAAACGGAAGATCAAACAGTTTGAGAAGCAAGTTGAGGTGAGCTCTGTGAATAAACTAGACTTCTGGTTTAATTTGGTTTTTGTAATATTTGCATTCTGAGGGAATGTTCTGACTCAACCCTTAAGGCACTATTTCTTATGGTATGGTTCACAGACATCTCTATCACAACCACCTGATATGCTTGTCAAAATACAGTGCACATACTAGCATCCTGTCAAATCTGCATTGTAAACAGCTCTGCAAGGTTTGAGACCCACTGTTTTTTGTCTTTTAATGTCTTTTACTTTAGATGTTTCCAAGTCATCAAACCTGAATATTCTTTTCATGATTTGGACTCGGGTGAAGCACAGTTCCACGTGCTTTTTATATCCTGTTCAGAGCCATCCACATGCATCTAGGCACAGTGGCTGGACTAGCCATGTTGGACTGTAGGGCACGCTGCCCTCTGACCACAATTTTAGGGTGGAAGGTTTTAGGTGTAAAGCAAATGTATTGATCTTATGTGTTCTGGAGCCATAGAGTGCCTTCTCTCTCGTGAGACTCTGATCATAGTTTCTGTTTTCGTTATAGAAGGAAAAGTCCAATTTATTTTTTTTCTCTCCAAGCTCTATCGCAATGGTCAGCGCTTGCTGGAAAAGCAGAGGTTCCAGTTCCCGCCTTCCTGGCTTTATATTGACAACATCGAGGGAGAGTGGGGGGCCTTCAATGACATCATGCGTCGGAAGGACTCTGCTATTCAGCAGCAGGTGGCAAACCTGCAAATGAAAATCATCCAGGAGGACCGGGCTGTGGAAAGCCGCACCACCGACCTGCTGACCGACTGGGAGAAGACCAAGCCTGTCACGGTGGGGCTCTTTTGGCTGTGCTCCCGGATACTCTTACGTCAACAGCACCATTTGGTGTACTTTCTTTCAGACTTCAGAAGCCTTGCTGTGACTTAGCTTTCCAATATTGGGTTTTTTTTCCTTTTTTTAATTAAAAAAACAGTACTTGCAGATAGTAAATGTTTAAATGTGAAAGCTAACTGAGACTTCATTTTACCCAAAATTCCAGTTAGGAGGTGATTTTAAGGATTAAAGTTTTTCTGTTCTTAAATTATCCCCTTAGGCATACTCAAAAATTAGGATTTAATTTCTGGTAGACCCAGGCCAGGCTCACGCTGGTGCTGCTAGTCGTACATGTTGTGGGGAGGAGAGGTGGGTTCTGTTGTTGTCGTCGTCATCGTTATTAAACCTTTCCATACTCAGAACCCACCACATGCATTTTTCTCCATTTATTCAAGTATCTGTGGAGCACCAGCTATGTGCTAGGTGGTTGTCTAAGTAGCAGGGATACAGCAGTGAATGAGAAGGACAAGACCCTACTCCCACGGAACTAGATGCCAGTGGAGAGAGATGATAATAAAAATCAAACATGAAGAACATGTACTTTGAGTCAGATTTTGATAGTGCTGCCGACAGAAGAAAATGGGAGGGTGCTGGCTGGGGTAGAAGAGGGTGTTGGTGGCTACTGCTATGGCACATTATCTCTTGCTGGGAAGGTGGCAGTGGAGGGGAGCTGGCAAGTCATGATGATGACAGAGGTGATAGGTAAGTGACAGCATGTTTGATTTACCGGGAGTGAAATTCAAACTTTCTTTTATTTAGACATACAAATAGTATAGAAAAGACAAATGGAGAGGATGTTAAAATGTTTTGAATGTTAACCTGGTTTTCTGGCTTGGGGATGTAAGTTCTCCCAATAGGCCAGGTGGCAGATTTAATCTCCCATGATGATGTTCCTTACTGCGCATGATGGATTCTGTGCTGCTAGGCCCTTGCAGGTTCTAGTTTGTGTTTAATTTTATACTTCTTTTTTTTTTGGCGGCTGGGAGGTGCAGGGATCCAGACCCTTGACCTACTTTGTGTTTAGTTTTGGTTCAATGGTCCCTGCCTTAAGGTGGTCTGTGCTTTCATTAATGCCGGTACTGGTAGTTGTGAATGCTCGCTCCAGCAGGGGAGTCAGTATCAATCAACAGGCGAGATTCTGGTGACCAAAACTTGAGTATCTCTTATTACCTCACCTTGGTGCCAGTAATGTGTTATAGTTAAATTTTTAATTCGTATTTTCCTTTGGTAGAAAACTGCGATAGTTCATGTAGTTCTCAAAAGTTATTAAAATGGAAAGACCAGTGGGATCCCTGGGCAGGAAAAAAAACTGGAAAGGAGGTGTGTCAATAGTAGCTTGGATGTCAGAGTGGAGTTCACTTCCAGTGGTTTCTCATTCTTCTCTTGGGTAACCGATGTAACAACTGTGTACATCGGGGAGAGGGGGCTGGCAGGCCCGAAGGCTCTAAGATCCTCTTAGATCGCTGGGAGTGTTCACTGGAGGCCCAAGTCTGTCTCGGCCTTTTCTTCCCGTCTCCCAGGGCACTAGGTGAGATGATGGCTGAATTGAGAGACACTCTACCATTCTAATATTTTTATTTACATAAAAAACTGATATAAAACTTACGTTCAATACTGGGCAAACCTCATAAGTGGACATCTCATTAAATGTTCCACACGTAGACCTGTTCAAGTAATTTGGAAATTTCCAGACCCATTTTAAAGCCAAATAGTCCATATCTCCAGAGACTGTCCTTCAATTCTGTGTGCTCTGCTTCCAGGGCAATCTCCGCCCAGAGGAGGCACTTCAGGCTCTCACCATATATGAAGGGAAGTTTGGCAGGCTGAAGGATGACAGAGAGAAGTGTGCAAAGGCCAAGGAGGCGCTGGAGTTGACGGACACGGGGCTTCTCAGCGGCAGTGAAGAACGCGTGCAGGTATGAGCCGCTGGAGGAGCCGGGATTCCCCCTCCTCATCCTGACTCTCCTGTTAACCTGGGTCATCTCAAGCACCCTGCCAGGCTCTGAGGTGCTTTCTCTTCTCAATTTTCAATCACAGGTGGCCTTAGAAGAATTGCAGGACCTCAAAGGCGTTTGGTCAGAACTTTCTAAGGTCTGGGAGCAAATTGATCAGATGAAGGAGCAACCATGGGTTTCAGTACAACCTCGAAAGGTACATCTCTATGAAATAGGTGTTTGCATACGTGTCTGTAGATTAACAGTCACAGACTTTGTCGAGGAACTTTGCAAAGGAGGAACTATTGTGAACTTCCGAGAAGGCACTTAATGTCCTGCATATTATTTACATTATTCATCCAAACCAATGTAAAATTTATTTTAAAGCCATTTAAAAGAAATTTCACCATTTAAAAAAACGTTTGCAAACTGAATAATCATCTGTGCTTCTCTTGCCAGCTTCGACAAAATCTAGATGGCCTCTTGAACCAGCTGAAGAACTTCCCTGCCCGATTGCGGCAGTATGCGTCCTATGAGTTTGTTCAGAGACTTCTGAAGGGATACATGAAGGTAGGTGACTGGTCTCAAACAGAGAGGAACGCCCATCAGAAGGACACCTGCACAGATGACTTTGTTTACTTTCTCCACAGATAAACATGTTGGTGATTGAACTGAAATCTGAAGCACTTAAAGACCGCCATTGGAAACAGCTGATGAAAAGGCTTCATGTTAATTGGGTTGTTTCTGAGCTAACCCTTGGCCAAATCTGGGATGTTGACTTGCAGAAAAATGAAGCTATTGTCAAGGATGTACTGCTTGTGGCACAAGGAGAGATGGCTTTGGAAGAGTTTTTGAAGCAGGTAGGTAATAGGACTAGAGAGTCTCTTTCATGTTGTGTTTCAGGCTATGATGTAGATTTGAGCTGTGTAAAAATAGAGCCTTGTCATTTGTGATCCTTTTTAACCCTGTAACGCTTTGTCCCTTGTGCAACTGGTGAATGCCCACATACTAATAATGTGCCTTTTTGTGGTTTCAATTCAGATAAGAGAAGTGTGGAATACGTATGAACTAGACTTGGTTAACTATCAGAACAAGTGTCGCTTGATCCGCGGCTGGGATGATCTCTTTAACAAGGTCAAAGAGCACATCAACAGTGTCTCTGCCATGAAACTGTCTCCATATTACAAGGTACCATTGTTGGAGAAACTTTTCCCTCCCTGACCAGTGTTTTTCTGCATTTTCATTATAATACCTTTTAACTATTACTAGATACCTGTTTTTTAAATGTGAGTCAGATAACTTGATGGGATCCTAACCTGCACTTTGTTGGTGAGTTTTAGCATAGTTATGAGTGAAAAGTTTAGCAGTTGAGCTACGCCCTCCTGTCTCCTCACTAGGTTTTTGAAGAGGATGCACTGAGCTGGGAAGATAAGCTGAACCGGATCATGGCTCTCTTCGATGTGTGGATCGATGTGCAGAGGCGGTGGGTCTACCTGGAAGGCATCTTCACGGGCAGTGCAGACATCAAGCATCTGCTGCCAGTGGAAACTCAGCGGTTCCAGAGGTACAGCCTCCAGCTGGGGAGCCAAATATTGACAGTGGCTGTTAACCACTCTTGACATGGAGGCTGACATACATTTTAATTTGATTTGTAGTATCAGCACGGAGTTTTTGGCTCTAATGAAAAAAGTATCCAAGTCTCCCCTTGTTATGGATGTACTGAACATCCAGGGGGTACAGAGGTCTCTGGAAAGATTGGCTGACCTTCTAGGAAAGATCCAGAAAGCACTGGGAGAATACCTGGAAAGAGAGAGATCATCTTTCCCCAGGTGAGATGCTTGTTTTGATTTTTCCTGAAATAAAGTTGAATTTCAGTTATGCTTTTTTTTAATCCATCCACTCTCCCTTCTGGGCATGTGTGTTGGTCAGTTTTGACATCAAGGATTTTGTGAGCCAGTAATCCACCTAATGAATATCATTTCCCTGTCATGCATTGATTCCTGATTGTGCCTAGTAATCCTTGATTTTCTACCTTGGATTTATTAAGCTGCATTTAAACTATCTTCTCTCCTCCAAGGCAGCTTACATCTCTTCAGTGTTTAGCTCTGTGTTTTAAGTAGCATCTCTTCCTTTCTGAATAGTTTGCTTAGGATGAATTGAACAGGTTTTTAAGAAATGAGTTAATGAAGTAAGGTAAATGACATGAAATTCGTTAAATTCCTCTTCGAGATCTTAAATAAATGTGAATCTTTCACCAAGGACTGGAAGGAAGTTGGACATCATGTCAATTCAGGCTGCGGGTTGCCAGCCACCGGCCGTATCCACTTTCCCTTCCTGCAGTTTGGAATTTTGCCTTGATTCGCCTTACTTGCGGGTATAAAATTTTATATGCTATTTTAATTTTAGGTTCTATTTTGTGGGTGATGAAGATTTGCTTGAAATCATTGGAAACAGCAAGAATGTAGCTAAATTACAGAAACACTTCAAGAAAATGTTTGCCGGAGTTTCGAGCATCATCCTAAATGAGGATAACTCTGTTGTCTTGGGTATTTCATCCCGGGAAGGAGAGGAGGTAGTTAAATTTATTTTTGTAACTTAGAAAACTTCTCTCACATTTTTGCACGTCTTAATTCTTAAAATTTTATTTCAGGTTATGTTTAAAACCCCTGTGTCAATTACTGAACATCCCAAAATCAACGAGTGGCTCACACTGGTAGAAAAGGAGATGAGAGTCACCCTGGCTAAACTTCTTGCTGAGTCTGTTACAGAAGTTGAAATTTTTGGTAAAGCAACTTCAATTGACCCAAATACCTACATCACTTGGATTGATAAATATCAGGTAATCTATAGAAGAAGTGGGCAGGCTAAAGGTGAGTGCACTGACTGATCTTTAAAATGGTCCTTTGTGGTCCTTTTGGTGTCTTGTGTCTTTCAGGCTCAGCTTGTGGTTTTGTCAGCCCAGATAGCCTGGTCTGAAAATGTGGAGACCGCGCTGAGCAGCATTGGCGGAGGTGGCGATGCGGCACCTTTGCACTCTGTGCTGAGCAACGTGGAGGTCACCCTCAACGTGTTAGCGGACTCTGTCCTCATGGAGCAGCCCCCACTGCGAAGAAGGAAGCTAGAACACTTGGTTAGTCTCATGGCCGACTCCTTCCTCACCAGTTGGCTCTTACCCCTTCAACTGAAGCAGTTAAAGGAAATCGTACTTGAAAAAATTTTCAGTTAGTATCGAGGAGAAGAGTAGGTGGCGTATTGATATGCTCTGGGGGTGGGCATCTGTTTTTCTTTTCCTGTTGAAAGTTAATCTTGGTTCTCTTACCCCTTCAACTGAAGCAGTTAAAGGAAATCATACTTGAAAAAATTTTCAGTTAGTATCGAGGAGAAGAGTAGGTGGTGTATTGATATGCTCTGGGGGTGGGCATCTGTTTTTCTTTTCCTGTTGAAAGTTAATCTTGGTGGCGTGCAGGAATTACATGACTTCATGATAGAAAGATAGTGATCAACCATGATCAGGGTCTCTCTCTTATCATCTCCTCTCCAAAGAGGCGGCCACAGCAGTGTGAGTGGCACAGTGAGGGCAGCTCCTGGCTCTGAGCCCTGGTGGGCAGGAAGGTGGACACTTAGGACAGACATCAGAAAGCTGCTCTCCCATCACATTTTACACCAGTTCCAGAGTTTTTATTTAAAATGAGGTGTTTCTGTTTGTTTCTTTGTTTTTGCTGCAGCTCTTGATTCTCTGTAGTACCATCGCATGAACATTTCTGTTGTCTCTAAAGGTAGATTTGCATTTTGGAATATTTACCAAAAGCTACTGTAACGTAGAATATCAATTTAAGCCTAACAAATAATACACAAATCCAGAGAAAGCCTTATATTACGATCAACTTTTAAAGTGGCTCTTTTTCTTCAGATTACAGAGTTGGTTCACCAGAGAGATGTTACCAGGTCCTTGATCAAAAGCAAGATTGACAACGCCAAATCTTTTGAATGGCTCAGCCAGATGCGATTTTACTTTGACCCTAAGCAAACCGATGTGTTACAGCAATTGTCAATTCAAATGGCAAATGCCAAATTTAACTATGGCTTTGAGTACCTGGGTGTTCAGGACAAGCTGGTCCAGACCCCCCTCACTGATCGCTGCTATTTGACAATGACACAAGCCTTGGAGGCCAGGCTAGGAGGGTCCCCATTCGGTAGGTCACTCCACAAGTCTGGACAGATGGAATTATATATTAAACATGATTTTTAAAGATTAAGCTAATAATTTGAATGTATTTCTTAATTATATGGTTATTACATCCTAAAATCTTAAATGTTTGTATTTATTACATGTACTTTGATTTTTAAAATTAATTGCTTTTTATAATTTTCTTAAAGCTAAAGATATATTCCCAATTAGGTAACGGACTCAAATACTCAGTTACCTTTCTTTAAATAACAGGGCCTGCTGGCACTGGGAAAACAGAGTCTGTCAAAGCTCTTGGCCATCAGCTTGGACGGTTCGTTTTAGTTTTCAACTGTGATGAAACCTTTGATTTCCAGGTGAGAAGCTTTATGGGCTCTACCTAAAATCTAATGGCCTAAAAGGGTCAGCTGGGGAACGTCAAGCTGGCACCCCTGCCTGAGCCATCAGCCCTGCAGCTCAGTGCAGTTGATCTGGCCTTCTGAGGCCTTGGAGGGGTAGTTGTGACTCTGAACTGTTTGAGGTACATATGTGCTTTGAAGTTGACTTTGGCTTCATGTTTTCAAAGTTAAATCTTTGGTGTAATGTATTACTCTTTTGAAGTGGCAATTTTTTGAAGAAATGCTTAGTGCCTGTGTCTGGGAATAAACAAATATTATGGAAGAAGGGGTTTTTTTTTTTTCTTTTTTGGACTAGTAAGGGGATTGCAACCCTTGGCTTGGTGTCTTCCACACCACGCTCAGCCAGTGAGCTCACTGGCCATCCCTATATAGGATCCGAACCCACAGCCTCGGTGCTACCAGCACCACACTCTCCCGAGTGAGCCACGGGGCCAGCCCTGGAAGAGGTTTTTTTTTTTTTTTTTTTTTTTCCCAACAAAAAGTGATTAACAGCTTTCTCATTGGGATTTTATTGGCACAGGAGAAAAAAAGGTATCATATGTTATATTTGTGTAATGATAATGGCTATTGTTTATGAAGTATCTATTGTGTGTAGGCACTGGGCCCCTCACCTGACAAGGAGATGAGCCTTGTTCAACACAAAGTCCCAGACATGAGGTGGAGGCAGGGTGGGGTGCCAGAGGAAATAAACACATCAGTATTGCATAGGTGTGAACTTCTTCCTGTGAATGTACACAGTTTAATTTTTAATGTTTCTTTTTTGTTTTTAATAAGAGTAAACTGTCTTAGAAAGAATTCTGCAGACCTCCTACATAAAACGAAAGGAGTGTCAGAGAAAGCAGTATCTGTGTCTGTCATTGGTGTTCTCTTACAGAATAAATACACTCTATCCCTGAGTAGTTCACGGGGTTTCGCGGGGAAGGGTTTGGTTTTATTTTTGTAGTTAATGATCCTCGGAAAAGGGAATTCTCATGATCTAAGCTGTTGACAGCAATGATTAATTTTTATTTTTTCAACTCTTGTTGGACTCATTTCTGTTCTTGAGTCGCCCTTGTGACACTCAGTGTTGTGTTGCACAATAGAATAGTGGGGCCCTGCGTCTGGTGGCTTGATATGTGCCACCTTCGTGTATGTGAAGTTTGGGAGCAGCTCTCCCTAGGCTGGGTGGCGTGCCTGGCAAGCACCTGTGGGGAGGCCAGAGAGCAGCCCCACTAGGAACGGGTGCTTTGTCTGTCATTTTAGAGACATTTTTAAATAGTCCTTTGAACATCGTGAGTCTTAATGCCATCATCTAATTTTCAGCCTCTGACCCCATTACTTGTGAGCTGCTAAACAAACAAGTCAAGGTGAGCCCAGACATGGCCATCTTCATCACCATGAACCCTGGCTATGCAGGCAGGTCCAACCTTCCTGACAACTTGAAGAAGCTCTTCCGGAGCTTGGCCATGACCAAGCCTGACCGGCAGTTAATAGCCCAGGTCATGCTGTACTCACAGGGCTTCCGTACTGCCGAGGTTCTTGCCAACAAGATTGTCCCGTTCTTCAAGTGAGTAGCCTGCAGTTGTTCATACTCAGATTTCTAGCATATGTTAAATATACCCATTTAACCTTCAAATTTTTGTTTATAATTATGGCACAGCATTTAAAATATCCATCTGATTGCTTGACGCTTGACACTACTGTTGCTTAAAGCAAATTTTTTTTTTGAGAGAGAACCTTTTCTTTTTTAGATTATGTGATGAGCAGCTCTCTTCTCAAAGCCATTATGACTTTGGTCTTCGGGCTTTGAAGAGTGTGCTGGTAAGTGCAGGCAATGTGAAGAGGGAGAGAATTCAGAAGATAAAGAGAGAGAAAGAAGAACGAGGGGAAGCCGTTGATGAGGGAGAAATTGCCGAAAATCTACCTGAACAGGAGGTTTGTACAAACATTCTTTTGGTCAGTCGAACCTCATGACTTGAGTTCACTTTGCAGTCCACATGTCCCAGGATGACTGGAGAAAACTAAATTGAGTGAGTGAATGTGGGCGAGTGGCAGATTGGTCCATTTTGTTCCCTAAGCATTACACTCACGCGCCTTCCAGGGCCATGGCAGATGTGCGAGCCATGCTCCTAACCCTCCTGCAGCTCAGTCCTTCCCCCACAGATTCTGATACAGAGCGTCTGTGAGACAATGGTGCCAAAGCTCGTGGCAGAAGACATCCCGCTGCTCTTTAGCCTCTTGTCAGATGTTTTCCCTGGAGTCCAGTATCACCGGGGTGAGATGACCGCCCTCCGAGAAGAACTGAAGAAAGTATGTCAGGAGATGTACTTGACATATGGTGATGGAGAAGAAGTTGGTGGAATGTGGGTTGAAAAGGTAACTCGGATTGTGCTGTTGGCTGCTGCCCGCACTGACCCTGCTGGCATTAGTGTCCAGGAATGACAGCCACGGGCCATTAGATGAAAGTCTGTCCGTGAAGGCTGGGGAGGTGCATAATCTGTTTTATGAAGATTTGCCCAAGGCCTGTTCGAATTTTTCTTTTATTTAAATGTAGAGGTAGCAAAACTTACCTGAAAATTTTAATTATGTGATATACAGCTCATTCTCGGAAAATGCTGACTAAAGGCATGATTATAATGGGAATTTGTTGATGCTGGTAAAAATTCTACTTATAAGACTTTCCAGTACCTTGGATTAACAATAATAACCTTAATTGCTAATGGATACACAGTTAACATTCTGTATTGGCTTCTTTTCTTTCCTTCCTCTTGTGCGATTCATTTAAGAAAAAATTTATTTATACAAGCTGTGTGGATTGATCCCAAGAGACACTGTACTGGATTAAACACATGGCTTATCTGTTTGTTCTCTTCTTGTTTGGAGGAATCTGATGTGTCCTTGTTGAGACAGCTTGGTAGGCCTCTCCTTGTTGTACTGGCTCTAGCCTTCATGACTGATTAAAGAACTCCCCACAATTTAGAATTGTTTTTTTTTTTTTTTTAAAGATGACCGATAAGGGGGTCTTAACCCTTGACTTGGTGTTGTCAGCACCACGCTCACCAAATTTTTTTTTAAAAGATGACCGATAAGGGGGTCTTAACCCTTGACTTGGTGTTGTCAGCACCACGCTCACCAAATGAGCTAACTGGCCATCCCTATGTGAGATCTGAATCCATGGCCTTGGGTGTTACTAGCACCACACTCTCCCGAGTGAGCCACGGGCTGGCCTGAGAATTGTCTATTTTATTTGTGGCCTATGTAACGTCTCTCCAGTTGAAGTCCACTACTTGCCTTTAAGAATCCATAGAACACGTTTCTTACTCGTTGTCATGAGAAGTCATGATGCTGGTCTATTGGGCCCTGCAGGTTCTCCAGCATTTGTGGCCTGTGTAACGTCTCTCCAGTTGAAGTCCACTACTTGCCTTTAAGAATCCATAGAACACATTTCTTACTCGTTGTCATGAGAAGTCATGATGCTGGTCTATTGGGCCCTGCAGGTTCTCCAGCTCTATCAGATCACCCAGATCAATCATGGCCTGATGATGGTGGGGCCCTCGGGAAGCGGAAAGAGCATGGCCTGGCGTGTCCTGCTGAAGGCTTTGGAGAGACTCGAGGGTGTGGAAGGCGTGGCCCATATCATTGACCCCAAGGCCATCAGCAAAGATCATCTCTACGGAACGCTGGACCCCAACACCAGGGAATGGACAGATGGGCTTTTCACACATGTGCTGAGAAAGTACGTTCATTTTGATCAGTATTTGCATCCCAGTGAATCTGAGTACCTGTTCATGCAATAAGAGTCTATGTTATTTTTCCAATCAGAATCTGAGCAAATTAAAGGTCACTTCAGAAACCGTTATAGGGTGAGCATTCTTAGTCTTAAAATCTTGATTTAGTCAACAGCTCTTTAAAAATCCTTCCAAACCAGGATCATAGACAACGTGAGAGGTGAGCTGCAGAAGCGCCAGTGGATTGTCTTTGATGGCGATGTGGATCCCGAGTGGGTCGAGAACCTGAACTCGGTGCTAGATGACAACAAGCTCCTAACTCTGCCCAACGGAGAGCGCCTCAGCCTTCCACCCAATGTGAGCGGCCTGCCTTTGTGTGTCCTAGGGTGATTTTCTGTTCTAGCCCCCTGGAATTCATGTGCTGGCAGGGTCCCGCCTTGGAGAGCAGGGTCCATGTAGCAGCAGTTAGCCATGTAGACAGTTCTCTGTAATTCTCAATTAACCCTTCTTACAATTCTTTAAGATGAGGTTGTAGTTGGGATATCTTAAACCGTTATACATTTAGTAGGTGGAAAAATGAAGAATTTAGATCTGGAACTTTCAAGGCTATCCCTAGGGAAGTGAGCATTGGTTACAGGTTCCTGGACACACCTCACGGGTGAACAAACGTGGCCAGGCTGGGCTGGGTGTGCGCTCCGCCAGACCCTGTTCTGGATGCCAAGAGGACAGCAGTAAACAAGACAGAACCCTGCTCTCATGGGGCTTGCTCACTGTCTGATGCGGGCGATAGACAAACAAGACCAATAATGATAGTTCTGAGGGAAAAAAATAAACTGGAAACGTGCTTGGGAGGGGGAGGTTGAAATGTCAGAAGGCTTCCCTGAGAGGGTGGTGGCTTTAGTAGAGACTTGAGGGGAGGGAGACTTGTCCTGGATCTGCTGAGCCTCCGTGCAAAGTAGCAAACAGCAAGGCAGCAGATTGGACAGCACGCCCAGTGTGTGTGGGGAGGGCAGGGGCAGTTGGCTGCAGCAGAGAACACCAGGGGAGATGTCAGAGTGAGACCAGGAAGAAAGCGGGCCCTGGAGGTGATTGGGAGGACTTAAGCGTGGGTGCTGGGGAGTCTTTGACAGGATTGATGGAGTGTGATTTCTGTCCACAGAGGTCCTGCTGGCTGTTGTGTGGAGGACAGTTAAAGAGGGCAGGGTGGAGGCAAGGGAGGCTGTGGGAGGCCACCACAGTCCTGTAGGCACTGGCGGGGGCATGGGGCGAGCTGGCAGGGGCGGAGGGCCCAAGGAGCGGCTGATGTGGCTGTAACTTAAAGTCTATGCTGATGGGGGTCGCTGGTGGCCTAGAGGTGGGTGTGGGTGGGGAAAACAGCCAAGGCTGACACCAGGGATTTGGCCTGGCTGACGAACATGAGCCTTCGTCAGACAGGGTCAGGACCTATGTTTATCTTCACTCAGAGACCACACTGGACTGTCAGTGCAGGCTGGGAATATGGGCCTGCTCCGACTAGTCTCTTGATTTGACTTGGATTCTTGACAGCTGCTTATTCAGTCAATTCTGAGTGTCGTCAGGAAGACATAGTTCTCTTTGTGAAGCAATTAGAACTCCAAGGTTAGGGCTGTGGAGTCTGACCATGTGGTTTGAATCTCTGCCCCCCCATTTACTAGCAGCAGGCCCTCGGCAGGATTACCTGGCCCCATCTGTAAAATGGAAGTAATAACATGCCTGCCATGTTGAGGTATGTAAGGATTGAATGCTTTCGGGCAGCAAAGTATTGGAGCAGCACCTTGCCCGTGATAAGCACCTAGCCCACGGTCACTGCTGGCATCACCTTTTGAGGGAGCTTTTGCTCCCAGGCCACCAAGGACTCTTCCATTTGTGGGAAATCTTAAACATTGAGTCTGACCTCTTCTCCATGCACATTTTTCCCAGATTCTTGTGGGGAGAGAATGGTGAATATTGTAGTGGTGGGAACTGTAGATATTTTTATTTTTAAGGTGCAGAAAAATTAAATTTAAATTACCTTTTCAGTGTACATATAAATACAGGAATTTTAATATCCAAGGTTTTACCAAACCTGCATCACTGAGCCTGTTTAATTCTTTCAAGGTGCGAATAATGTTTGAAGTACAGGACTTGAAATATGCGACCCTGGCCACAGTGTCGCGCTGCGGCATGGTCTGGTTTAGTGAGGATGTGTTGAGCACAGACATGATCTTCAACAACTTCCTGGCCAGGCTGCGCAGCATTCCCCTGGACGAAGGGGAGGACGAGGCACAGCGTCGGCGCAAGGGCAAAGAGGACGAGGGGGAAGAGGCTGCTTCCCCAATGCTACAGGTACAAGGGCCACATGCTCGGTGCTCCAAGTGGGACCCGTAGGTGGCATCTGAGCTCTGGGGTTTGGATGCAGTGAGGTGACACTGTTCTATTCCGAGAGTGTGTGGAAGTCATGGTACCATTCATAATTGGTCCCTGACTGGTCACCAGGTCAAGCCAGGCACTCGTAATCAGTGTTGTCTTATCCCAGCTTCTGAGAAAGCCCAGCTGTAGCACTGCAAAAGTCCAAAGGCATGTATGAGAAATTTTAAAGAATTCTTTTAATTATCTTACTTTTCTCTGCAAGGTGATAAAAGACTGCCCTATTCCATGTTCAGTCGTGGAAACCAATGCTTCTGGGAAGTAGGGTTTTTGAGAACCACCAGGATAAAGGAATGAGAATTGGTCATTGAAGCTTCACCCAAAATTATTTTTCCAAGGTCATGTGACCTCCCAGGCCTAGGTTAAAATAGATGAAGCTCTCCTGAAGTTTTGAAATGATAGTTCACGTCATTCGCTCCCTCTTCCAGATCCAAAGGGATGCAGCAACAGTCATGCAGCCTTACTTCACATCCAGCGGCCTGGTCACCAAGGCCCTGGAGCACGCCTTCCAACTAGAGCACATCATGGACCTGACGCGCCTGCGCTGCCTGGGCTCGCTCTTCTCCATGCTGCACCAGGCCTGCCGCAACGTGGCGCAGTACAACGCCAACCACCCCGACTTCCCCATGCAGGCCGAGCAGCTGGAACGCTACGTCCAGGTCAGGAGCCTCCAAAACATCGTGCCCAGTGGCGTGTGTTCTCACAAGGGGCTGGGAAAGGCGCAGAGAATGTCCTTGGTCCAAGAACACTAGGATCCACTGTCCTCCAGGTGAACTTTGCTGTGAATGTCTTTCTTTTGTTGAAATTTTTTTAAAAACAATTTTAATTCCTCTTTTAACAGCGATATCTGGTTTATGCCATACTCTGGTCCCTGTCTGGAGACAGCCGGCTAAAAATGAGGGCAGAGCTGGGTGAATACATCAGGAGAATCACAACTGTGCCTCTGCCCACCGCACCCAACATTCCCATCATTGATTATGAAGTGAGTGTGTGCACGCAATGGCCCTGTTCCTTGATTGTCGCCACGTCGCTTTAGTTCATGCTCAAGCAACCTGACTGTGGACTTAGACATTTTCTTTTCATTTTCAAAGGACTTTATCCTTTTAGTTTCATGCGGTAGCAAGGAATAAAGATTAGCTTGACCTGTCCATTCTTATGTTGAAACTTCTGGTTTGTGTTAAAGTAAGCAAATTTGTGAGTAAGGAGGCACATTGGCCCCAGGGTGACTCATGCTTCATCTGTGTGTAGGTGTCCATCAGTGGAGAATGGTCCCCTTGGCAGGCCAAGGTGCCTCAGATTGAAGTGGAGACGCACAAGGTGGCGGCCCCTGATGTTGTCGTGCCGACTCTGGACACAGTCCGCCACGAAGCCCTTTTGTACACTTGGCTGGCTGAACACAAACCACTGGTCTTGTGCGGCCCTCCCGGGTCTGGCAAGACCATGACGCTCTTCAGTGCCCTCCGGGCCTTGCCTGACATGGAGGTAAAGTGGCTAGGAGGTGGACAGCAGACCTTTTGGTGTTAAAATATGGAATTGGTCCTAAAATTCATTTTGTGTCTTCCCTTCCAAAGGTTGTGGGTCTTAACTTCTCAAGTGCTACTACTCCAGAGCTCCTTCTGAAGACTTTTGATCACTATTGCGAGTACAGGCGCACACCTAATGGGGTCGTTTTGGCACCTGTTCAACTTGGAAAGTGGCTGGTATTGTTCTGTGATGAAATCAACTTGCCAGATATGGATAAATATGGGACTCAGAGGGTCATATCCTTCATCAGACAGGTTTGTTTATATCCACAAGGTCCCCTTCCTCCCCAACATTTCTCTTTCACATTTTGCTCCTAACCTGTTACACGCCTGTTTCCTTCAGATGGTGGAGCACGGAGGATTCTACCGAACCTCAGATCAAACATGGGTGAAACTGGAGAGAATCCAGTTTGTTGGGGCTTGTAATCCCCCCACTGATCCTGGAAGAAAGCCCCTCTCACACAGGTAACCCAGCTCCGTAGACTTCACACGCACAACAGTTCCAGGATTGCTGTAAATATAGCCAAACAAAAATCTGGTTTTAATTATAAAGGTACTTTCTGTTTATCATATACTGCTTGTCCTAGGACTCCTCATGGGTTAATTGCACTATGCTGTAGTACCAGGAAAACATGTTTAAGAATAAAAGCATTAGGGCTGGCTGGTTGGTTAGCTCAGGTGGTTAGAGCTGGTGCTGATAACATCAAGATCCAAGCTTCGATCCCTGTACCAGCCAGTGCCAAAAAAAAAGAAAAGAATAAAAGTGTTGACTTCTTGGGTAGTAATGAACTGCCCAGACCTATGGCTGAAGTAAGCCTGAAGTATTTTCCCATCTTCGCTTGATTGTTTTTTTCAAGTTTTTTGCATCTGCCAGTGGTGTGTCAGACCCCAAACTTGAGCAGCATGTGTGTGATTTCATTTAACTTTGACATCAGGCCTGCATAGGTGGATTAGGTGGCAACTTCCAATCTGGGCCCAGGACAGAATGACACGCCTCTGGCACAGTGCCCCTTGCCTGGAGTCACTAATCAGTGGAGGGGCACTGAACTGGGCTGTCTCTGCACAGGTTCTTGCGTCACGTGCCTGTTGTGTATGTGGATTACCCAGGACCTGCTTCCCTGACACAGATTTACGGCACCTTCAACCGTGCCATGCTGAGGCTCATTCCATCCCTGCGCACCTATGCAGAACCACTCACTGCTGCCATGGTGGAGTTCTATACGATGTCACAGGTATGTGCAGCTTCTTTATTCCTGTGGGAATTGTTTTCCTCTAGTGGTTGAAGAACTCTGTCAGAAGATTGGGCTTGATACAGAGTCTTTGCCGAGCCAGGAGATTTTCTCCAAGGCCTGTTATCAAAGTCATTCTACCCAGGTACTGCAGCCGCCAACACTTTCATGCTGATTCTTGCCAGCCTTCCTCAGCACATATACGTTTAGTACGGGAATGGGACTACACTGTGCAGTTTCCAAAAGGATACGTACATTTTAACAACATGTCCATGTCGGTGATTATTCTTGTGCAATGTATGTATTGACTGTATATTTGCCAAGTTGCTAATTCTTGCCAGCCTTCCTCAGCACATATACGTTTAGTACGGGAATGGGACTACACTGTGCAGTTTCCAAAAGGATACGTACATTTTAACAACGTGTCCATGTCGGTGATTATTCTTGTGCAATGTATGTATTGACTGTATATTTGCCAAGTTGCTCTCAAGATAGGTGTCCAGTTATGCTCCCACCAGAGTTCTCTTTCCCTATGTTTTCTTCAACATTTAAAACATATTTATTTAAAAAATCTTTGCCTACTTGAAAAGAAGTGGTTCTCGTGGTTTTGATTTGCATTTCTTAGTTGTGGCTTCCCGCATCAGCCCTGCTACAGGGACATATACGTTTAGTACGGGAATGGGACTACACTGTGCAGTTTCCAAAAGGATACGTACATTTTAACAACATGTCCATGTCGGTGATTATTCTTGTGCAATGTATGTATTGACTGTATATTTGCCAAGTTGCTCTCAAGATAGGTGTCCAGTTATGCTCCCACCAGAGTTCTCTTTCCCTATGTTTTCTTCAACATTTAAAACATATTTATTTAAAAAATCTTTGCCTACTTGAAAAGAAGTGGTTCTCGTGGTTTTGATTTGCATTTCTTAGTTGTGGCTTCCCGCATCAGCCCTGCTGCAGGGTCACAGGAGAGAAACGCTCAGTCGCTACCAAGGTGTCCATCATGCTCTTGGTGTTTTAAGAGGGCCTGCCTGTCCTAGATTGCAAATATTTTTTGCTGGTATTTAATTTGCTTTGAACTTGGAAGTATTTTCAGAAGGGTTTTTGTTTTTTGGTTTGGTTTGGGTTTTTTTGTAGTTTCATTGTTTTGAACATCTAAATCTTTAAATATAATTTATTGCAACATAAAGTAAGCAGCTTGGATCTAACCTTGTTCTGGACAATTGTCCAGTGTTTCCAACCTTATTTACTAATTTATCCTTAAATATTCCAGGGTCTAGATTCTTTATGTTTAACACAAAAATGTTTTACAGCATCTTACCTTTTATGCGGGGCGGGGGGGGGGGTTGTGCTGGCTGGTGTTGGGATCCAAACCCTTGACTTTGATGTTATGAGGGTGTGCTCTGACCACCTGAGCCAACCTGCCAGATCTTACCTCTTAACTGCTCTTCTGTGTCTTAAGATACTTACATGTAACTTCCACTTTTTCTCCTTTATACAGGAGAGATTCACTCAGGATACACAGCCCCACTATATCTATTCGCCCCGTGAGATGACTAGGTGGGTGAGAGGTATCTTTGAAGCACTGAGACCTCTGGAGACTCTGCCTGTTGAAGGCCTCATTCGGATTTGGGCACATGAAGCCCTCCGTCTCTTCCAAGATAGGTAAGGGAAGCCAAGGATCCAGTTAGTTACACTCTCCTCCAACTCTTGAGTTCTTACAGCCCTCCAAGTTAGGATCTGCACAACACTGGCCTGCCCAGTGTTGGAGCCAGGCCATGCTAGTGGTAGAAGAAGCAGAAGCAGTGAGAGTGGCCTTACAGTTATCACAACCTCCCCCAGTGTAATGGGGTCACAGTGCACAGTGACTGCCCGCCAGTGTGTGGCTGCTGGTTGTCCTGGGTGAGGCACTTTAATAAACCTCTACCTGTCGAGTGGGGCCACACAAGGTAGCTACCTATGAGAACCATATCAAAGCACGGGTTCACTGGTGAATGAAATGCCTTCCCACAACTACTAATGTGCAGCTCCATGACCACCGCTCCCCTTCCTTATCCTCGATCTTTATTCTCCTGAAAGGATTTGGTTTTCTCTCTTACCTGTTAGCCACGTGTATCAACTCTTGCCTGTAAGTTTTGAGGTTTTTCTAGTTAAGTGACTGGTACTTAAGGGAAAGAATTGCTAACGGCTGAACAGCATCAATTATGGAAGGTTTCTGAGTCACAGTAGGTCTCACAGTGAAAAGTTGAGTCTTTACCTTTTAGGGAGTCTTGAAAATTATTGCCTTTTTTTAATCAGGACCTTTTTCTTGTGTTCTTTATAGTTCAGTACAATCTTTGTTTTACAGTAAATTCTTGGTTTTTCTAGCTCCTACCCTATCATCTTTTGTTTCTTTTCCTTATATTTTTAATTTCATATATTTTAGAATTGCAGTTCTTCATTGTATTTTGGGTTCATTTTTAGGTAGCGAGAAGTTAAGTCTGTGTGTGTTAACTCTAAACTTCTAATGAACACTAAATCTTAAGTGACGTACTATTTCATGCAACACCACAATTTCCTTTTGCAAATTATTTGCAGCAATCTTCTGCCCATGAACCAGGTTACTCGGAACAGAGCAGGAGGGCTGCAGAAGAGGACCAGGTTGGGGGGGACTTTTGTTTGTTTGTTACGTTAATTTCAAAGATAACAATACCCTCTGGAATTCTTTTTTTTTTTTTTTTCCTTTTTTTTTTTTTTTAATTCTTTTATTGGCTATGAATATCCATGAGATACAAAGCTAATTGTCACCACTCGTGCCCAAGAATATTAATTTTAAAGTCAATTGATAAAGAACAAATTTAACACAAAGATTAACATCCTTAATGACAAAAGAACTCTTAGAAATGACTTAGAAAAATCTGAGCAGAAACTTGGTGAAGGACGTGAGCAGATAAGTCACACACCCCAGGGAAACACTCGTGTCTAATAAGTGCACTCTGAGATGTTGTTGGGGGAGGGGGATGGGGGGGGAGGAGGAAAGAGGGTGGGGCTGAGGCCCTTGGCCCCGGATCTCAGGGCCCTGGGGGCTTTGGGTTCAGGGGTCTTTTGGTTAGGGCTCCACGGTCAGCCTGGTTGCAGACAGCAGCAGGCAGGGCTGGGTACCACGCAGCTGGGGGAGGACTTTTGATGGCAGGGCAGGTTCCTTCCCAGAATAAGTGTGACATTTCCCGAAAAGGCCCATCTACAGCAGACGTGGTCCCACAGGACAAGCTCCCTGGCCACTACGAGTCTCTGGTTTAGGTGGTTGGTAGTAGATAGTTAATAGTTACTGCCTTGGCAGAACTCAAGGATGATGGTTCCCTCCAGACTAGGAAATAATTAAGCATTTGGCAGTTGTATCTTCGGACCTGATAACTGCGGCAGCTTCTCTTATCTCTGCTGTACAAGGAGTCTTGGAATATTGCATACTTGTAGATCACTGGTTTTCAATGTGAGCAGATAAGTCACACACCCCAGGGAAACACTCGTGTCTAATAAGTGCACTCTGAGATGTTGTTGGGGGAGGGGGAGGGGGGGGAAGGAGGAAAGAGGGTGGGGCTGAGGCCCTTGGCCCCGGATCTCAGGGCCCTGGGGGCTTTGNTCCAAGGCCTGTTATCAAAGTCATTCTACCCAGGTACTGCAGCCGCCAACACTTTCATGCTAATTCTTGCCAGCCTTCCTCAGCACATATACGTTTAGTACGGGAATGGGACTACACTGTGCAGTTTCCAAAAGGATACGTACATTTTAACAACGTGTCCATGTCGGTGATTATTCTTGTGCAATGTATGTATTGACTGTATATTTGCCAAGTTGCTCTCAAGATAGGTGTCCAGTTATGCTCCCACCAGAGTTCTCTTTCCCTATGTTTTCTTCAACATTTAAAACATATTTATTTAAAAAATCTTTGCCTACTTGAAAAGAAGTGGTTCTCGTGGTTTTGATTTGCATTTCTTAGTTGTGGCTTCCCGCATCAGCCCTGCTGCAGGGTCACAGGAGAGAAACGCTCAGTCGCTACCAAGGTGTCCATCATGCTCTTGGTGTTTTAAGAGGGCCTGCCTGTCCTAGATTGCAAATATTTTTTGCTGGTATTTAATTTGCTTTGAACTTGGAAGTATTTTCAGAAGGGTTTTTGTTTTTTGGTTTGGTTTGGTTTTTTTGTAGTTTCATTGTTTTGAACATCTAAATCTTTAAATATAATTTATTGCAACATAAAGTAAGCAGCTTGGATCTAACCTTGTTCTGGACAATTGTCCAGTGTTTCCAACCTTATTTACTAATTTATCCTTAAATATTCCAGGGTCTAGATTCTTTATGTTTAACACAAAAATGTTTTACAGCATCTTACCTTTTATGCGGGGCGGGGGGGGGGGTTGTGCTGGCTGGTGTTGGGATCCAAACCCTTGACTTTGATGTTATGAGGGTGTGCTCTGACCACCTGAGCCAACCTGCCAGATCTTACCTCTTAACTGCTCTTCTGTGTCTTAAGATACTTACATGTAACTTCCACTTTTTCTCCTTTATACAGGAGAGATTCACTCAGGATACACAGCCCCACTATATCTATTCGCCCCGTGAGATGACTAGGTGGGTGAGAGGTATCTTTGAAGCACTGAGACCTCTGGAGACTCTGCCTGTTGAAGGCCTCATTCGGATTTGGGCACATGAAGCCCTCCGTCTCTTCCAAGATAGGTAAGGGAAGCCAAGGATCCAGTTAGTTACACTCTCCTCCAACTCTTGAGTTCTTACAGCCCTCCAAGTTAGGATCTGCACAACACTGGCCTGCCCAGTGTTGGAGCCAGGCCATGCTAGTGGTAGAAGAAGCAGAAGCAGTGAGAGTGGCCTTACAGTTATCACAACCTCCCCCAGTGTAATGGGGTCACAGTGCACAGTGACTGCCCGCCAGTGTGTGGCTGCTGGTTGTCCTGGGTGAGGCACTTTAATAAACCTCTACCTGTCGAGTGGGGCCACACAAGGTAGCTACCTATGAGAACCATATCAAAGCACGGGTTCACTGGTGAATGAAATGCCTTCCCACAACTACTAATGTGCAGCTCCATGACCACCGCTCCCCTTCCTTATCCTCGATCTTTATTCTCCTGAAAGGATTTGGTTTTCTCTCTTACCTGTTAGCCACGTGTATCAACTCTTGCCTGTAAGTTTTGAGGTTTTTCTAGTTAAGTGACTGGTACTTAAGGGAAAGAATTGCTAACGGCTGAACAGCATCAATTATGGAAGGTTTCTGAGTCACAGTAGGTCTCACAGTGAAAAGTTGAGTCTTTACCTTTTAGGGAGTCTTGAAAATTATTGCCTTTTTTTAATCAGGACCTTTTTCTTGTGTTCTTTATAGTTCAGTACAATCTTTGTTTTACAGTAAATTCTTGGTTTTTCTAGCTCCTACCCTATCATCTTTTGTTTCTTTTCCTTATATTTTTAATTTCATATATTTTAGAATTGCAGTTCTTCATTGTATTTTGGGTTCATTTTTAGGTAGCGAGAAGTTAAGTCTGTGTGTGTTAACTCTAAACTTCTAATGAACACTAAATCTTAAGTGACGTACTATTTCATGCAACACCACAATTTCCTTTTGCAAATTATTTGCAGCAATCTTCTGCCCATGAACCAGGTTACTCGGAACAGAGCAGGAGGGCTGCAGAAGAGGACCAGGTTGGGGGGGACTTTTGTTTGTTTGTTACGTTAATTTCAAAGATAACAATACCCTCTGGAATTCTTTTTTTTTTTTTTTTCCTTAATTTTAAAAAAAAAAATTCCCCCTGGAATTTTTTTTTTTTTTTTTTTCTTTATTTTAAAAAAAAAAAAACCCCTTTGGAATTTTTTTTTTTTTTTTTTTCTTTATTTTAAAAAAAAAAAAACCCCTTTGGAATTTTTTTTTTTTTTTTTTTCTTTATTTTAAAAAAAAAAAAACCCCCCTGGAATTTTTTTTTTTTTTTTTTTTCCTTTTTTTTTTTTTTTAATTCTTTTATTGGCTATGAATATCCATGAGATACAAAGCTAATTGTCACCACTCGTGCCCAAGAATATTAATTTTAAAGTCAATTGATAAAGAACAAATTTAACACAAAGATTAACATCCTTAATGACAAAAGAACTCTTAGAAATGACTTAGAAAAATCTGAGCAGAAACTTGGTGAAGGATGTGAGCAGATAAGTCACACACCCCAGGGAAACACTCGTGTCTAATAAGTGCACTCTGAGATGTTGTTGGGGGAGGGGGAGGGGGGGGAAGGAGGAAAGAGGGTGGGGCTGAGGCCCTTGGCCCCGGATCTCAGGGCCCTGGGGGCTTTGGGTTCAGGGGTCTTTTGGTTAGGGCTCCACGGTCAGCCTGGTTGCAGACAGCAGCAGGCAGGGCTGGGTACCACGCAGCTGGGGGAGGACTTTTGATGGCAGGGCAGGTTCCTTCCCAGAATAAGTGTGACATTTCCCGAAAAGGCCCATCTACAGCAGACGTGGTCCCACAGGACAAGCTCCCTGGCCACTACGAGTCTCTGGTTTAGGTGGTTGGTAGTAGATAGTTAATAGTTATTGCCTTGGCAGAACTCAAGGATGATGGTTCCCTCCAGACTAGGAAATAATTAAGCATTTGGCAGTTGTATCTTCGGACCTGATAACTGCGGCAGCTTCTCTTATCTCTGCTGTACAAGGAGTCTTGGAATATTGCATACTTGTAGATCACTGGTTTTCAAACCATGCTCCTTGGTGTTCTTGGGTTCCACTGAGGTACCTAACAAAGAGCTGCAGTGAGAGAGGAACAAGGTAAGACCAAATGGGGAACATGTCAGCTGTAGCTGCCTTATTTTTCTGTCTCATCTTGGGGTTCTATTGCTTTAATAAGTCTTTTTTATTGTTATGTAGCTACCTTCATTCTCTCTTTTTTAATAAGAAAATTGAGCCATAATATAATTTTCATAGATTTCCCATAATACTAAAATAAAATTTTATTTAGATTTGAATGTAGCAATAGCAGTTGTGCTTAGAAATTCAGGGTGGCTTTGGTAACTACAGTACCTGCCTTCACTAGACCTTCACCTGGTAGCCTGCACAGTCAATCATATGATCAGCTTCTCAAAGGTGCCCTCACACGTCAGGACAATCACAAGTCTCGCCTGCTGGCCTTGTGGTTTTCTTTATAAGCCCTGCACCTCCAAAACTGTACACATTGCAGTTCCCTATTTCTGTTTTCCTAATGCCCCTCTAATATTTGGAGCATTTATATTAAGCAAGCTTAGAAACTGGTCATATTTTCATTTCTTAAGTCAAAGTAATTAAATATTTTTAGAGGAATTTTGTGTTATGGTGCTGTACTTCTGAGCATTTTTATGTTCAAAATTTTAGATTGCTTAAGCCATCATAAGTTCAGATTCTTAGGTCTTTTCCATTTTGTAGTAAAGGAAAACATGTGACGAAGACTGATTGCAGCCTCTGAGTGGCCTACACCACCCACGAAACATGGTGTTTTCTCACCACAGCCTCTGTTGACTCTAATGCATGTGCTGCTATCCTTCCAACAGACTTGTAGAGGATGAGGAGAGGCGCTGGACTGACGAGAACATCGACATGGTTGCCCTGAAGCACTTCCCTAACATAGACAAAGAGAAAGCCATGAGCCGACCCATCTTGTACAGCAACTGGTTGTCAAAGGTAACACATTTGCATTGTTTCAGAGCTAATTCCTTTTCTTCTGTCCCTTTGGTTAGAATTATCTTCTAATCAAAATCTCTTTGTCCTGAGTGCATCATAAATGCGATTGGGTACAGCAAGGATGCACTGAGCATTTGTAGCCATTGGTCATTTAGGGCAGGAAATCCAGGAATGTGGCTGGCCGGTTGGCCATTAAGTTTTTTACTTCCGTGTGATGGTTGCTACAAGAGCAGTGGATTCTCCACCAGCAGGAGTTGCTCAAGCAGGTCTGTGGTGAAAGAAGTCTGCTTCGCATTTGCTTTCACTTTCTTCGCACTAAAAATGGGGCAGCTGTGGGTGATTCGCGTGACAATGTTTCATATACTAAAATGCCAAATGCAGTTGGCATTTGCAGAATAGCTGTTGAGTTGTCCTTTTTCTCTGAAAAAGGTCAGAATGTTTTCCTCTCGCACTAAAAATGGAGCAGCTGTGGGTGATTCGCGTGACAATGTTTCGTATACTAAAATGCCAAATGCAGTGGGCATTTGCAGAATAGCTGTTGAGTTGTCCTTTTTCTCTGAAAAAGGTCAGAATGTTTTCCTAAGTTACAGTCTCTGTGTGCATTTCATCCAGTAATATAGGATGAGCAAAAGCTTCCTATAGGGAGCTCACACTGAAATGGGGAAAGAGAGGGACAGAGGGAACAACTCCGTCTGGGGAGAGGTCTCTGATAGCGGTGACCCTTGTGTTGGGGTCTGAAAAGGGTTCATCATGTCAGGGGGGGCATGGCAGACGGAGGACCTGACAGCAGCTAGAAATAGCAAGGTAGGTTTGCTCATTGTTGCTGGAACTTTCTATGTATTCCAGACTCTAGAGAACCATCCTTTTTTATAGTGACCTATTTATAGGAAACATCTTCTCCCAGTGGCTTGTCTTTTGACTCTCTTTTTAGTGTCTTTTGAAGAATAAATATTCGTGAAGATTTATCATTTAAACATTCAGTCATCTCTAATTGAGTTTGTGTATGGAGTGAGCTCTGGGTCCGTTTTCAGTTTTTTCCTTGCGGACATCCGCTGTCTCAGCATTGTTTATTGAATAGTCCTCTATTCTGCAATGTCGCTCTGTCTTAGTAGGTTTCCCTGTGTGCGTGGGTCTATTTTGAGGCTCTATCTTCTTCCATTGATCCACGAGGGTACTTCAAAAAGTTCATGAAAAGATTTGTATTCTCTTTTAACTCTTGTTTTTCATAAACTTTTTTGAAGTACCCTCATATTTGTCACTTCTGTGCCAGAACCACATGGTCCTGATTACGATAGTAAATCTATCTGATAGGACAAGCCTTCACATCTGGTTCTTCCATATGGGGATATTGACCATTCTTGGCCCTTTCCTCTTCTGAATGAAATTTAGAATTACTTTGTCAAGTTGCACCAAGACAACCACTGCCACCCACCATTGAGATTTTGGCCGAGATTACATTGAATCTATATATCAATTTGTATAGAACTGACATTTTTATAGTAGTGTGTTTTTTTCCTCCAGGAACATGGTGTATCTCTTCATGTATTCAAGTCGTCTTTGATGTCATTCAGTGAAGTTCAGTTTTTTCTAGAAAGGTTTTTCTTGTTTTTTTGATCCATTCCCAATAGTAACTCATATTTTTGTTGCTATGTTGTAAATGGTATATTTTTTTGTTGGGTTTTTTCAACAGTTTCTTCACAGTGTATGGAAATACAGTTGACTTTGGTCTGATAACTAAGGTGATTTCTTCTAAGTAATTTGGGTCTTCCCTTTTTTTCTGTAGGACTACATCCCAGTAGACCAAGAAGAGTTAAGAGATTATGTCAAAGCTAGGCTGAAAGTCTTCTATGAAGAAGAACTTGATGTTCCTCTGGTCCTGTTTAATGAAGTGCTAGACCATGTGCTCAGGATTGACAGGTGGGCTTTGTGTTTTTACTGCCCACTCCTCACCTCAACTGCTCTTGATTTAGTGGCGGGAGGTGGGGAATCACACCAGGCCTCACACTGTCCTCCCCCCACCTTGGCCTTCTCTGCCAAGCAGCTTCCCCTTTTTCTTCTTTCTAAGCCCAGTTTAACTGTCCTAAACTTTTATTTCAAGCAAAACCTCATTCTTCCTCCCCCTACCCCTACATACCTACCATGCATGACTATAGCCCTTTTAACCTGCTAGAATTGCGCTCATCTCTCTCCTGTCATTTGAAGGTCTGGAGGGCAGGACCATTGATCTTTGCATTTCCACTGCAAATTTTTAATGTGCAAATTCAAGTTAAAACTGTGCACACAATCCTAAAAAAGTTTAGGGCATGAGGGTCAACAAAAGGGAATGAGGCATATAAGCCTTAAAACTTACCAGTTCTGATAATGTTTCAGAATATTTCGTCAGCCTCAAGGCCACTTGCTTCTGATTGGTGTTAGTGGAGCAGGAAAAACTACCCTGTCTCGTTTTGTGGCCTGGATGAACGGTTTGAGTGTGTACCAGATTAAGGTGGGTCTGGTTGGTAGCTTCCTGATCCCAGCCTTGGATTCTTTATTTGTGCACATAGCTCATTGAATGAGAATGGGCCTAACTTGCCAACTGCTTCTGTAGGTCCATAGAAAGTACACAGGGGAAGACTTTGATGAAGATCTTCGGACAGTGTTGAGACGTTCTGGATGTAAAAATGAAAAGATAGCATTTATAATGGATGAATCCAATGTGTTAGATTCTGGATTTCTGGAACGAATGAATACCCTTCTGGCCAATGGAGAGGTAATTGAGTGACGCATTGCACTGTGTTACATTACGTGGCGTTGTGCAGCGAGGATGGGTAACTCATAGTGCCATGTTGCCCCTAGGTTCCAGGTCTCTTTGAAGGAGATGAGTATGCCACCTTGATGACGCAGTGTAAAGAGGGAGCACAGAAAGAGGGCTTGATGCTGGACTCCCACGAGGAGCTCTACAAGTGGTTCACTAGTCAGGTCATTCGCAACCTCCACGTCGTGTTCACCATGAACCCATCCTCAGAGGGGCTCAAGGACCGGGCAGCCACTTCGCCAGCACTCTTCAACAGGTACATTGATCTTTGCTCAGCTCTGGGTCACAACAGGCAGTGTCCTTCCAAGGGGCATACCCTGCTCTTGGTAGCTGTTTTGAGATAAGAGCATCTTTTTCAGGTGTGTATTGAATTGGTTTGGTGACTGGTCCACTGAAGCACTATATCAAGTTGGCAAAGAATTCACAAGTAAAATGGACCTGGAGAAGCCGAATTATATCGTGCCTGATTACATGCCAGTTGTATATGATAAACTACCACAGCCACCGTCACATCGGGAAGCCATTGTAAACAGCTGTGTATTTGTTCATCAGACTCTTCACCAGGTGGGTTCAGTTTTGAGATTAGCATGTAAAAAGCAAGATTAACCATTAGTTTCATGTGAAACTAAATTGATATGAAAATAGGTACTATTTGACACTACTGTCACTTCAGAAGGAATAACTGCTTCTCACTGCTTTCTTGTGTTTTTAATGGCATCTCATCCTTGGCACCCACCTGTGAATTCCGGAGCCATCTAACCCTCATTGCCACTTTCTCTTCCCACTGCCACTGTGTGGGCACTCTCATTCTCTCCTCTAGAGCAGAGGTCAGCACACTCTCTTCAGAGGGCCAGGTAGTAAATGTTTTAGGCTTTGCAGGCTGGAAGAGTCTCTGGTGGAACTACTCAGTGCTGCTGTTGGAGTGCGGAAGGCTGCATAGACCGTACGTAAACCAACAGGTGTGGTTGTGGCCAGTGAAACTTCATTACGGAAACATGCGGCGGCCAGGACCTGCTGGCACAGTTTCCTGGCCTTCACTCTAGAATAGATACAGATCATCTCCTCCTACCTGCCAGAAACACTTTGTAAAGCCTACTCTGAGCTGTGGTATCCTGTCCCTCAGTGCTTCTTCAGGCAGTCTCCATCCCCGGAATGTGGTCCGGTCCCGGTGGGCTGACCTCTGCTGCCCTTAGCCAGAGGTGACTGAGCAGTTTCTCACATAGACCTCTTCTAGCTTGCCCCCCTCTCTTGCCTGTGCTGTTTCTACTTTGGTATTCATTGAAAACAAGCAGTAAAAGGGAAAGCAGGCATAACATTTACATAGTAATTAACAGTTTGCAGAGCCTTTTCACTTCAAGTACACCTCAGAGGTTGGCATAATCACCATCCTCAGTTTAGAGAAGCTTAAGAAAAAAGCTTAAAGTTTTAAGGAAGGGGCTTCTGAGAACTCATGAGTGGTGAAGCTGAGGCCCAACTCGAGTGTTCCGACTCCAGAGGGCTGGGTTTGTTCCACCGTGGCACACTGCAGTCTGACACAGCAGAACAACTAGAGTTTTCTGAGGTTAAATTGAAGAGGACGTCCTGAAGAGCAAAAAGATTTAACTTTGTTTTCTAAAGGCGAATGCTCGGCTAGCAAAGCGAGGAGGCAGAACAATGGCCATTACGCCTCGCCACTACCTGGACTTCATTAATCATTACGCCAACCTGTTCCACGAGAAGCGGAGCGAGCTAGAGGAGCAGCAGATGCATTTGAATGTTGGCCTTAGAAAAATCAAAGAAACTGTCGACCAGGTATGTCCCAGGTGTAAGCTTCTTTGCAGGGGTGAGCTGCAGTGAGGACCCCTGTGAGGTGGTTTCTGCCTGTTTCTATTTTCCTAGTGTGGTTTTTGTTCTTTAGGTAGAAGAACTGCGTCGTGACTTGAGGATAAAGAGCCAAGAACTGGAGGTCAAGAACGCAGCAGCCAATGACAAGCTGAAAAAAATGGTAAAAGACCAACAAGAGGCCGAAAAGAAAAAGGTACTTCCTTTTATTTTGGGGAATTATGGCCTGTATGGGTGGGGCATTTTCGGTCTTTAATGAGAGAGTAGGAAGTTTAGTTTGAGGTGGGATTTAGGATTTAATGAGTTAGTGGGGTATGCGTGTTCGTGTGTGTGTTTTGGCAGAGAGAGGAGTGTTATTTAGAATTCACTCAGCAAGTTAAACAATGCTTAACCTAAGCCAGCCTTCCTTCTAGGTCATGAGCCAAGAAATCCAGGAGCAGCTGCATAAGCAGCAGGAAGTAATTGCAGACAAACAGATGAGCGTTAAAGAAGACCTCGACAAGGTGGAGCCCGCTGTCATCGAGGCCCAGAATGGTACGTGAGTCCTGTCAGAGGCTTGACTTTCTAGAAGGATGCTCTCCCTCACCATTGCTGTAGAGTTCAGGTGACTGAACATTGCACGTGGTCTTTCCTCCAAGGTTCTGATCACATACATTTCCAAAAGCACTATTGGTGAACATCTGAAGCCTTTTCTAAATACCTGAGGCTGTCTTCATCTCTTAAAGCAAAATTTCTACAGGGCTTGGGCTCCAGGGTTGGCAGGCTCGGGGGGCACAGACCCCAGGTCACAGGGGGTGCTGATCGAGGACGGGCTGTACTCTGGGGTGCTCATCACCTTGGAGAACTGCCTCCTGCCAAACAACAAGCCATGCTTTATACCATCTGTGTGAAGCAGGCTCGACACCAACATGGAGACTGACCTCCATGTGGTGGGCTGCTAGCTTCTCTGGGCAGCTGGCTTGCTGCCCCACTTGCCACAGGTGTTGTTCCAGCCATCCTTTTATTCCAAGTCCTTTGTGAAGCATTCCATGAAGCATGTGTCAGTGGCCTGTGTTTAACCTGACCTTCAAAATAGAAGAGGCACCAAGATGAATACGGGACATCATCAGTGTGTGTCATCGCCTTCAACAGCTGAGAGAGAAAAAGAAACCTGTGCCTCTAGTGCTGGATCAGGGTCATGTTAATTTATAGAACCAAATTATAAAGGCAGAAAGATACATTCTCAGAGTGCTGGGTTTCTACATCTATGTGAAGCATCCTCACAAGATAATTGTTATGTACCTTCAGGTGTCAGAGTGTGAGCGTAACCACCCTGTTGTCCAGGCCTCATGGATAGCCTTCTGAGGGTGACTAAGACTTCTCTACTGTCCACACACTTTGGTGCAGGGACAGCAGCCGTCTTCAGCCACTCTGAGGCAGACTCCCCACCCAAGGCTGATTCGACTGGTGGAATTACATGAATGACAGGCTTCACACCAACCTCTTATTGCAGTTCCAGCCTGAGGGCATTGCCTGTGCCTGCATTGTCTCTCACTGCTTGGATGCTGAAGATCCTTTGCCCAGTCATCCCCACTGGTTTCTTTTGTTTGGAGCCACTGAAGAAGAAATTCAAGAAGTCTGTTTTAAAATCCTGCAGCTTTATACTCAGGAACACGTTGACCTGACACACCTGGAAATTGAAGTGGAAAAGAAGCACTCTGTGGAGGAGGCAGAGGCACAGCCGGGGTCTGTTGCCCAGGGCACGCAGGTTCTCACCTGCCCCCAAGCTGCTAGAATCCCCCAAAGAAGGTAAAGGAAGCAAACCTTCCCCACTCTCTGCGAAGAATGCCAAGAAGACATGAAGGGCTTGACAGCCCCAAGGATGGCTTGCCAAAGGGCAGAGAGAGTAGAAGCCAGAGCAGGAGCCATGAGCAGAGCTGCTCAAGGTCCGAGTGGCATGGCTGCTCTCAGAGCTGCATTGCCTCTCCACCACAACGGGCGCACTGCGGCTCTCCCTATGGAGGCTGTGGGGGTGGGGGTTTCTCGAGAGAGTAAGGACTGTGAGACCCCACCCAGGAGCCACGTAGGTCTTGGAGCCAGAGCCCGTCCTTTTCAAAGCCAGTCACAGGAGCAGGTTGATAATTCTGGAAATTATGAGAGAAAATTTATTACAGAATTATCCATAGAATTGAGGGGATGGCAAGGTGCTCCTCAGGCTGGCCTGGGACTCAGTGCACACCCATCCCAGTGTGGGCAGCTGGATGGAACAGCAGGTGCATATGTCCCTGCTGGTGTGATGTGGAGCTGTGGACAGGTGTCTCCTCACACCCGTACCGAAGCTCAATTACATTAAGCCAAGAGATGATCTTTAGACCTTCACCCGTATTAGGTTGTACTTAACATACATATTTTGAAGTGTTTCACAATGAGAAAATGTCCTTAATAGCCCCTTATTCTGTACCCATGTTGTAGATAAATATGTGTTTAATGCAAGTTAAAGTTGTATATGAAAATTCAGAACTTGAATTCTGTCAGCTTAAAACTTGTATAGAGAATTCGGATTTTTAAAATGTAAAGGTATTTAGATCTGTGTTGAAAGTTGTCTGTTTTTATCTATGTGGGCTACCAGCTCTCAAATAGAGAGGTTTCCTATATATGCATTTTATGTAGTTTAATAAACACAGTTCTGTCAACTCAATTTGGAACATTAAAAAAAAAAAAGATAGCAAAATCCCTATAAAGCTAGTCTATGTTTACCCTAGTGAAGCCCTTCTCATAAGAGAAAATTGACAAACACTTTCTGTCAATACATATTTTTACTTATCAATCCCTGACTTGAGTTTTTCACCAAGAAATACCATGAAGTATTCGGTGTCGCCATCTTTTTTTTTTTTTTTTTTTTTTTTTTTTTTTTTTTTTTTTTTTTTTTTTTTTTTGTCTTTTTGTCTTTTTCCGTGTCCGGCAACGGATCGCAACCCTCAGTGTTGCCCCCGTACCGGACCGGGGACCGGCAACGGGATTGCAACCCTCGGTGTTGCTCCCGCGCCTCGCTCAGCCAGTGAGCAGGAACCGGTCTGTATGTGGGATCCGAACCCTCGGCCGGAGCGCCGCCGCACTCTCTCAGCGGCGCACTATCCAGTGCGCCACCGGGCCGGCCCCGCCATCTTGTAGTGATTTCTGAGTGTGTTCTGGCATGGCCACTGATTGCTAATCTAAGTGCTGATAACAGTCACTTCTCGCACTTTCTTCCATTCTTTTCATGCCTATGAGATGCTACAGAAGTAGGGCGCCCTATTGTAGTTTGCAGTTTGTGCAGTAATTAAGAGTGGCCTTAACCTGTGCCCTGTTCTTGCCCAGGAGTATTTAACTTGTTTTAAGTAACCTAATTATTTGTAGTTTTCACATTACACCACAAGATGAATTAAAATGCACCACCTAAGCTATAGATTTTCATTCACAGTTAGATTTGGATGAGAATTCATTTTAGTTCTCAACTACTAAGTAATGACTTTTAAAGTGTTTTACTAAAACTTCAGGTTAGAAAACTACATTTCAGTTTGTAGAAGACGTTGGCACTTATTTATTTTACTTTTTTTTTTTTTTTTTTTTTTTTTTGGTGGCTGGCTTTTAGAGGGATCAGACCCTGGACCTTGGTGTTATCAGTCACCAACTGAGCTAACCAGCCAGCCTGGCCGTTGTTTCAGAACTGTTAACTCCGCATCTCCACCCAGCCTATCAGGCAACTTCAGAATTATAGCAGATTGAAATGTCTGTAGAAATTGTGTAAAATAAATGCACGGTTACATTAAGAATTTTTTTTAATCTTTGTGGAGATAAAGGAATTAATGAGGACTTGTGAGGCATTTTAAAGGCAATATCCTACTTTTAAGGAATGTTTGCAATTTAGGCTTAGTACAGTGACGTCTTTGTGGTTATTTAAAAGAACGGCTACTTATGCTGTTCCAGAGGGTTCAAGACAGAAATTCTTATATTTCCTTGTTCTTCCGAGCAGCTCTCCTCCCCTAATTGGGCCGGAGCAGCTGCTGTGTTGGCTCGTTCTCACCACGCTGTGCTCTTGTCTTCCTCCCCTCCCGCCATGCTCTTCCACTCCTGCTGCACTCAGCCGTGAAGTCCATCAAGAAGCAGCACCTGGTGGAGGTGAGGTCCATGGCCAACCCTCCCGCCGCTGTGAAGCTGGCACTTGAGTCTATCTGCCTGCTGCTGGGAGAAAGCACCACGGACTGGAAGCAGATCCGCTCCATCATCATGCGGGAGAACTTCATACCCACCATCGTCAACTTCTCTGCCGAGGAGATCAGGTGAGGAAGTGCAAATGCCAGGTTGTTGCCGGGAACTGAAGGAAGTTGTTCAGGTGTTGACAAGTTTCCTGTCCCCTCATGGTGCTGTATGCAGGAGACGCTTTCCAAAGGGAGCTATTTTGTCATCTCTGGCATGTTGTGTGCCAGAAGGCAGCGTTGGTTACGCTAATCACACAGATGCCTTTCCGGGCCATTTCCTCTCAAAGAAGTCAGAGTTTTTCCCTGCAGTAGTTTTCTAATCCCTCAGCCCTGGCCAGCCGACTTCTCTCCCTCCCTACAAGTAGCTGTGAGCATCCTGAGGATGCAGCCTCTCGCTGAAATCAGAGCAGGGGTCACCCACCTGCAGCAGCAAACCTGGCTTGGGGTTGTCTCCTGTGAGGTGAGGGGCCAGGGCTGGCAGGTCCGAGGTGCTTCCATCAGCAGCATTGTCAGATGTCACCGAAGAACCAAGGGTCTGTCTGGCTCATCCGCATTGGTCACTGGGGCAACAAGATATGGAAGATGGCTGTACTCCTTTACATTCTGATTTCATAAAAAATCTTCTCTACTTTTGTCTAAACATGCTTAGAAATATGATTTCTATCTTGCAGTGATGCCATAAGGGAAAAGATGAAGAAAAACTACATGTCCAATCCAAGCTACAATTATGAAATTGTCAATCGGGCTTCCCTGGCTTGTGGGCCTATGGTGAAGTGGGCAATTGCACAGGTAATCAGCACAGCCAGAGCTCCTGTGGGAAAGGTGACCTCTTTTCCTGTCACTTTTGAGTAACTACTGTCTGTTTGCCTTCCCAGCTTAACTATGCAGACATGTTAAAGAGAGTGGAGCCCCTGCGTAATGAGCTGCAGAAGCTGGAAGATGATGCCAAGGACAATCAGCAGAAGGCCAACGAGGTGGAGCAGATGATCCGGGACCTGGAAGCCAGCATCGCCCGCTATAAGGAGGAGTACGCTGTCCTGATATCAGAGGCCCAGGCCATCAAGGCAGACCTGGCAGCTGTGGAAGCAAAAGTGAGACTAGCGTCATTAATCTGCGCAGTGCTCCTGCCAGCTCCTCTGTAACTCTGTCCTTCAGAGTTACTTAATGGGAGGAGCTTATTAACCTCATTTGTTGGAAACCAAGATTAACACACTTTTATATGGACTGCACATATGTTGGTCTCAGTGAATGAGCTCTTTAATGTCTATTAGGGTCCTGGTAACTTTTTTCCCCTAGTAAATATTAAATACTGAGTAATTACTAAGTGGTGTTAATTAGGCCAGCTGGAAGGTCTGAAGCCAGTGATTCAATCAATCCCTCTCTCTCATTCCCTCCCTCCCCCTCTCTCCCTCTCTCCAGCTCCAAGCCTTTCGTTCACCCACTTTGAGGGCCTCCTCGTCAGTGTCTCCTGTCCATCTACTGACCCTTCCACTGCTGTCACTGTCACTCACACCTGCACTCCTTTTTCAAATCTTCAAAATAGGCTCTTCACATTTCTGCCACTGGTGTGTCTCCCCTTCATGCCTCACCCATCTGCTCCTGCCACCTCCGTGGCCCTTGCTGCCTACTCCCATCTCTGCTCATGCAGATGTCTCAAAGCTGCAAGTTAACTCACTTAGGCCCTGATTAGATCTGAGACTTGCACTGTCTTTAGTTGTATATAAGCCAGGTCTCATCTCCTTTGGGATTGTGAACAACCTGAGCATGTTTCTAGCCTACCCAAAACCCTGCACATAATGTGGATGAACAGACTTGTAATATTCAGTATAAATCCTGAAAATACTGATCCCTGAGCACCTTACTTGATTTTCCTGCTAGGTAAACCGGAGCACCGCTCTTCTGAAGAGTTTGTCTGCAGAACGTGAACGATGGGAAAAAACAAGTGAAACTTTCAAAAACCAGATGTCCACCATTGCTGGGGACTGTCTCTTGTCAGCTGCGTTTATTGCTTACGCAGGTTACTTTGACCAGCAGATGCGTCAGAACTTGTTCACCACCTGGTCGCATCACTTACAGCAGGCCAACATCCAGGTAATGGGGTGTGGGGAATTCCAAAAAGGTGCACCACTTCTATGTTGAGTGACGTTTACAAAGTCTCCGCTTGAGGACAGTCCCCATCTACAGCTTTGAAGAAGAGGAAAGATAACCAGCCTCCCCTTTCAGTTCCGTACAGATATTGCGAGGACAGAGTATCTTTCCAACGCCGATGAGCGTCTTCGCTGGCAAGCCAGCTCCTTACCTGCTGATGACCTGTGCACGGAAAATGCAATCATGCTGAAACGGTTCAACAGGTATGTACTTAGACTCCAGAAAGAGGCAGGTTGGACATCTTATGTGTGGTGATCTCATTTTTATTTTTTTCGAAGCACACTAAGGAATAGAAAGTAGGCATGGGCAACTGTTCGTCTCTGGTGCTGGGTGTGCACGATTCTTTATATTCTTGCATCTTGATTGTCTGAATCATTCTGTAATGAGTGTTTCTTGTAACCTTTTAAAATTGATAGGCTGGCTGGTTAGCTCAGTTGGTTAGAGTATGGTCTTATAATTCCAAGGTCAAGGGTTCAGATGCCCATACTGACCAGCCACAAAAAAATAAATAAATAAATAAAATTGATTGGCAATCCAGCATCTCACCATAGGTTAAAAAAATTGATTGTGTGTTAGGATGGACGTTAAAACAGTTCCTCTGAAAATATTTATAAGAACTGAAAATAGTTAGGTAGTTAAGGGGAGATTGCTACCTGTTTCTCTGTGTGAGAAGGCCAGAAAAGGCTGGCCAGTTAGCTCAGTTGGTTAGAGTGTGGTGTTGTAACACCAAAGTCAAGGGTTTGGATCTCTAAACCGGTCAGCTGCCAAGAAAAAAATAAAAGAGGCCAGAAAGGATATAGAGTGTGACTGAGTGGAGGTGGGTGAGGTGCTGAAATCTGAGAGGAGCCATCAGGACTGGCCCCACGTTCGAGACGCTGCTCTCTAAGGCCTGGGCCTCTTCTATAGCACCTCTCCAGCTTGGACACCCTGGGCTGATTTTTTTTTTTCTCTCTTCTTAAATGTATTCCCAGATTTCTTTTTAGCTTCACCTAAACATCTTGAAACCTTTATTGAGCCCTTGCTGTATGTGCCACTGTCCTGGGGACACAAAGACAGTGAAGACACCCCCAGGTGCCATTTGAGATTATGAGCAAACCCTTGGGTCCTGCGCCTGGACTGAGGGGGCTCAGCATCTCTCGAGGTGGTGCTGACACAAGTATTGATCTCAGAGTACAGTCTGTGAACAAGGCTGGATTTGTCTAAATGAAAGCAGTGTATGCACTCTTTGACCTAGGAGTTCCAACTCTAGGTATTTATTCATCAGTAGACTGGCACATGTGAAAATGACAGATCCAAAACAAAGTATGTCCTAGCAGAAGACTGGAAATGACTCACATGCCTAGTTAGGATCCAGTTAGCAGATTACTGTACATCTCCACAGTGGGATGCCAGGTTGTCTTTGCGGGTGCAGAGCAGAGGGAGGACACGCACGTGTGTCTGTAAACGCCTAAACCTTCTCTGTAAAGATAGACCAGAAGCTGGTGACGGTACTCACCTAGGAAGGGAATTTGGTGACCAAAGACTGGGGAGAGGGTGGGGAGACAGTTCTTCTCACCCTGTGTCCTTTTATACCTTCCGAATTTTGTAGAAGCTTGTATGTATATTACCTGGGTTGGGGGGCGGGTTTTTAATTGGCTAGGCCCTGGGCAAAATCCCTTTAGTCTCTTTGTGCTTCTGTTTTCTCATTTGTAAAATGAATTCGTTAACAATACCTGTCTCAGGGTTATTGTGAGGATTAAATGAGGTAGTAATTGGACAGGGTCCCTGTCAGTTTAAGCTTTTTATAATGTGAGGTGTTGGTACTGCTGAAGCACTGGTGTTCATACTGACTTTCCAGGAGTTCGCTGTCTAGAAGAGTAGTAAAACAGAACAGTAATCCTAACATAAAGGGCTTGGCATTTGGACAAAAGCTTGTGCAATATGTTATAAGGGAGAACATTTATCCCAGAGAGAAAATAAAGACAGAGTTCAAGACATAAGTTACCTCCTCATTACAGAAATTCTTCAGAAAGGTGATTTGATCTTAGCATGAAGCATTTACGCCACATTTATCTTGATTGGTAAAGCTGGAAACGACTCTTGAACAGTGGTACCACCCTTTCCATCTGTCTCATCAGGGACTTTGCCGAGTGTGTCCTTACGCTTTTTTTTGTTGGAGTTTTTCACCTACTCTCTGTCGCCTCATCCTCAGGTACCCGCTGATCATTGACCCCTCCGGACAGGCCACAGAATTCATCATGAATGAATATAAGGACCGTAAGATCACACGGACCAGCTTCTTGGATGATGCCTTCAGAAAGAATCTGGAGAGTGCACTGAGATTTGGTAACCCCCTTCTGGTCCAGGTTTGTAATTGCATTTGAGTTCTTCAGACCCTGCTTCCAAGAATGAATTCCTTTTAGGGCTGCATTTGGTTTTTTTCAAACACAGTTCACATAAAAGTAAATTACGTGATATAAACACTGACAGCTTTTGCACTTTGTAAGATTTTGTTTGATATCAGAACAAGGATAAAACTTTAAAACTTTTAAACTTTAAAACTGTTCTATAAAAAGTAAATCCAACAAAAGCAGCATTTGCATTTAAAATTGCATTCAGAGGGTCTAGATCAGCACGGTTCACCAGAACTTTCTGCAGTGGTGGAAATATCATACAATCTTTGCTGTTCAGTATGGTAGCCGCTAGCCACATGTGGCTATTGAGCACTTCCTTGTGGCTACTGTGATAAAGAACTGAATTTTTAATTTTAATTATGTTTAAGTAGCCACATGTGGCTGGTAGCTACCATTTCAGACAGTATGGATCTAAACGGCTAGGTGGCTTCTGGGAGGGTGTATGCATATTTATCTGGAATAGGTGGTCAATATTGACACACCATTATTTGGGTGAAAATAAATGTAAAACCCTAACCTTTAAGTTTCACATGTATCATGTAGGACGTGGAAAGCTACGATCCAGTTCTGAATCCAGTCCTGAACCGGGAAGTTCGGCGAACAGGGGGGAGAGTGCTGATTACGCTCGGGGACCAGGACATAGACCTGTCACCATCATTCGTCATCTTCTTGTCCACCCGAGATCCAACAGTAAGGAATGAGACCCTTCCCGTAGCAAAGTGTGGCAGTATTTGGTTTTGCAGCTGAATTAACAAAACAGACTGTTCTGTTTCCTGTCTTGGCAGGTTGAGTTCCCCCCAGATCTCTGTTCCCGGGTTACTTTTGTAAACTTCACCGTCACCCGTAGCAGTTTGCAGAGCCAGTGTCTAAACGAAGTACTGAAAGCAGAAAGACCTGATGTGGACGAGAAACGTTCCGATCTTCTTAAGCTTCAAGGTATGGTTCTAGATCTCTGGCGTTGGTGGTTGTTGCAGGTTGTGAAGACTAGGATGTTCCAGCTTTATGTCAGACACTTCAGAGAGCTTTCTTTTTGAACGAATGTAAATATTACAGCAAATTCTGGCTGTTTTGATCATTTAAGGGGAATTCCAGCTACGTTTACGTCAGTTAGAAAAGTCTCTGCTACAAGCCCTGAACGAGGTAAAGGGACGCATTTTGGATGATGACACAATCATAACGACTCTGGAGAACCTAAAGAGAGAGGCTGCTGAGGTCACTAGAAAAGTGGAGGAAACCGACATCGTCATGCAGGAAGTGGAGACTGTGTCCCAGCAGTACCTCCCGCTCTCCACCGCCTGCAGCAGCATTTACTTCACCATGGAGTCCCTGAAACAGGTGACCAGGGACACCCTTGGCCGCCAGGCAGAAGCTCCCGGTGCATGTTTTCATGGTGGTGCCTGATGAGTTGCCTAATGGTCATCCACTGCCTCCTTTCAGATACACTTCTTGTATCAGTACTCCCTCCAGTTCTTCCTGGACATTTATCACAACGTCTTATACGAGAACCCCAACCTGAAGGGTGTCACCGATCACACACAGCGCCTCTCCATCATAACAAAGGACCTCTTCCAGGTAGAGAACAGAGCACTCAGCTGTTTCCAGGGAGGGAGTATGTGGCAGTGTTTTCTCGGGAAAAAGCAGTGTTTCCCGCTTTTGTCCCCAGGTGGCATTTAACCGAGTGGCTAGAGGCATGCTGCACCAGGACCACATCACCTTCGCCATGCTGCTGGCGAGGATCAAACTCAAGGGCACGATGGGGTAAGGCCCTGCTCTCACTCCCTGCAGTAGAATGTTGTCATCATGTAGGTTGCTTACTAGCATTGTATGATGGGATGCATTCTTTTTTTCTTTTCTTTAAATCATTACTGTTTTTAGTGATGATGCAAATGAACACAAGAGACCCGAGCTTAACCTATTGCAACCTTTACAGGGAGCGCACCTACGATGCCGAATTCCAGCACTTCCTGAGAGGAAAGGAGATTGTTCTGAGTGCCGGCTCAACCCCCAAAATCCAGGGCCTGACAGTGGAGCAGGCGGAGGCAGTCGTGAGGTTGAGCTGTCTTCCTGCATTTAAAGATCTGATTGCAAAGGTTCAGGCAGATGAGGTAATTGCTCTTTTAAACATTCCAGTAAAAAATGTTGGCCTCTTCCCAGGAAATCAGCAATAAGGAGTTGTGTGCTCCATGAAACCCAGTGTTATGTTTGCATGCGCTCGGGTAGACACCAATCCATTCCTTTCAGCCTCTCTGCTCTGTCCTGTGGTGATGCTTTCACTGTTATCTCCATAGCAATTTGGCATCTGGCTGGACAGCAGCTCCCCAGAGCAGACAGTGCCCTACCTGTGGAGCGAGGAAACACCAGCAAGTGAGTCCATGGCCAGGCCCTCTGGGTTTCTTTCTGGACTGAATGTAAAATTGGGTTTTGCTGGTTGAAGGGACACTTCCAAAAAATTAAAAGTTACCAATTCCCAATATAAGTATATCAGTGTTAAAACTTTTCAGGAAACTACTTAGGAAGATGGCTTCTAGGTAGGAGCTGGCTTAGAGGTCCAAGATCAAAAAATTCCTAGTTCCTGCTTCAAGTCATGCTTAAAGACCAGAAGAGAAATAGTAGGAAGGCCCTTGCTTAATGTTAAGGGGGAAATTGGCTGCATTTGTGCCATACACGGTTTTTGAGTATGTTTGACCAGGCACTGGGCTAGCCAGGCTCCGAGAGGTGGCGGAGGAGGGTCTCAGAGCTCAGTCCGCAGAGGACAGAGCACAGAAGCACTGCTACAGCAGGGTGGGCTGCCGCCATGTTCCTCTTGAGACGCTCCAGGCATGTTCAGCTATTCTGCAGTAAACAGGTTATTAGTGGAGTAATTTAAACATCAGTAAATGGCACCTTATTTTACAGATACATCAGTGTGGTAAGGTTGTCCTAGTTGTGTCCATAGGGCTCGAGAAAGACATAGCAAGAGGTGGCAGATTCTCCTGGGGCAGAGAGTACCAGAAGGGGCATTGTGGTTTCCAAGATGTGATTTGCCCTGAGTCTTGAATGCTGAGTGCTTGCCAAGCAGGTGCTCTGGGAAGAACACTCCAGGTGGGGAGGGGAGGGCGTGTTGAAGTCTGTGCTTTCGCCAACCCCAACCTTTCGCACACCTGTTTCAGCACCCATTGGGCAGGCCATCCACCGCCTGCTCTTGATTCAAGCTTTCCGCCCCGACCGCCTGCTGGCCATGGCCCACATGTTTGTTTCGACAAACCTTGGGGAGTCCTTCATGTCCATCATGGAGCAGCCACTCGACCTGACTCACATCGTGGGTACAGAGGTAATGCTCTGGCCTTAGCTCTGGCTTCTCTGGGTTCTGTGTCTGGCTCCCCTAATGGCATCTGGTGGCAGCCCTGGTACCTGCTGATTCCTGGCAGTCGTGTCCTTCTAAAGCCAGTCACTCACTGTAGATTCTGAATCTGCCAACTCCACAGTGCCCACACCTCTGGGCCCAGAGGGAACATCTCGGGCACCACCCTCAGGGCTCTCCTTTCTCTTGACAGGACACACCGTCAGCATGTCATCTGACTGACTTCTGCCTTCCTCATTTGCAGGTGAAGCCAAACACTCCTGTCCTGATGTGCTCTGTGCCTGGTTATGATGCCAGTGGGCATGTGGAGGACCTTGCCGCCGAGCAGAACACGCAGATCACCTCAATTGCAATCGGTAAGGGCACTTGATGGATTTCATGGGGGGCTGACGCAGGATTTGTGGTAGGCATTGAAGTTCAAGACTGCCCTTGCTAACACTAAGCTTCCATGTATCAGGCTCAGCAGAAGGCTTTAACCAAGCAGATAAGGCCATAAACACCGCTGTGAAGTCAGGCAGGTAGGCCTATTTGGTTTGTTTGGTTTGGTTTTGGAGAGCTTTCATTCCCAAGAATTCAGGCAGGAAGCCTGGTGTGTCCCTGTGGTTTTCGCTTTGTGTGCACAGGTGGGTGATGCTGAAGAACGTGCACTTGGCTCCAGGGTGGCTGATGCAGCTGGAGAAGAAGCTGCATTCCCTGCAGCCTCACGCCTGCTTCCGACTCTTCCTCACCATGGAGATCAACCCCAAGGTGGGTGGTTGAAGAAGGTGTGAGACATTGAGGTTGAATGCTGCTGTGCCGTCTTCATTTGACGTGGGGGAGTGTGGGGGTAGGGGGGCG